CGACGATTTCGACTCGGCCGGAGATGATTTGGAAAGTTCTTCTAACTCGTGGGAGGTGCAGGAAGTTCCTCAACAATTTCGATTGACCCGATCATGTCAGTATCGGGCGCTGAGACCGTGGGAAAGCTTTTTCCTACCCTTTGCTTGTGGCATTGGCCATCCCCATACATTTTGGAGACTGGGCAAGACCTATTATTTGATCGAAGGCCCTCGGGCGGACTCTCGTGCCGTCTTACATGGCGCTGGGACACTTTTGATCGAATAGATGGCATGATAAGAATACCAGAAGCCTAATCTCAATTTTCAGAATGTATGCGAGGAGCGCTATGGGATAGATGCGTGAAAATGGAATATTCGAAAACTATCAGGAATGGTAGCACTGATCATGCGTCACAGCTAGATAGCTGAAAGTGCGTTGAATGGTTTAAAAATCATTATAACAATTTGATCCAATTTACCACAGCCGTACCAGGAGCTAGTTGTGCTCTGCAGACTCGAAAGATGGGCTCTCCTCTATGACCAAAAGAACGTGAGTTGATAATAGATAAGTTTTGACCTTGCTTGCCGATATCAACCTGGTTAGCTTCATGAAAATGGTGCTAGGCAGTTGTGCCGAGAGATGAAGATAACACAGGCCGCGAGAGCGATTGGGAATCCTTATCGAAGTGAATAGAATAGAATTAATTTTAAGTCCCTACTGAGTCTTTGACTATGAACTTATCGAAGTGAAGATGAAGGTGTTACGGGAACTCGGTACAGCAGCAAGAGCTGCAGGTTCGTAAGTGACACCACTGACAGGTGTTATGTTTTCATTCTCCACCCGATAGTAGCATTTTCGAATGAATTCTACAGTTGTGAATATCGTGTCCATGACTTATAGATGTCTATTTTTGACAGATATCTTGGCAGGGGCGGCAAACCACCACGCATGACAAGTTTGAGGCAGAGTCATGTGTGCTTGGGTGAAGCATCCGGGTCAGGAAGTCACAGGAGTATCATATATACTAAGTATTGTGCCATAGCTGTGAGCCTAGGGTCTAGTGATACGTAGGCAACGAGAGATGTAACTGAGTCAATGAGTTTCAGTTTACGATCAAGTAGTACTGGCGTAGTCATGAGGAGTAAAGGCTAGCACAAGAGACTTGTATATTACATAGCGATATCTTCATGTTCAGATGGATGTAATGAGAGCAAACAATCTATCGAATGTTATAAGGATCTTGATAATTTCATTTAGCCCGTTCAGGTACCCTATGGGCCCATGCAGGTATATCTAGCTATAATATTTACACAGGAGGAAACCAAATTCGGTTAAAACCCCCCCACAACTGTCTGTCTTGTGTCTATTGGTTTTCTGAGGTTTCCTACAGGAAATGCGTTTACACTGTTTATACAGTGTGAATTCCGTCTTATCCTTGTCCATATCGTCTCATCTTTTCGTCCAATGCTATTTCTACTTCCCCTACAAGCTGGAATTGTTTAAGCCAGCCTTTTGCCAGGATCCATTTTATAATTCTCTCTTTGTCATCTGGGCTATTCATCATTGCCGCAAATGACCTGTCATTTGCCTTTCGAAGCACCTCTCCTCTTCCCATTGCCAACTGAGGACACGCCAAGGCCATATGTTTGACATTTTGGAATAATCATTTCGGGGACTTTCCTTCGATACAGATAAGAATTGAGACCAATGTGCTCACTTCTTATCTGAACTGCAATACTACTTTGGGCCCTACTAAGGTTCCGGTGTATATCTGAGGGTGTGTTTCTATATGTAATCCTTTTTCTGCCTGTTTTCTCATCTGTAATAATATTTGCGGCTTTCTAATGTTCAGGGTCTGCCGAAGCTCTATGACCAGATAGTATCTCGTTTGCTAGACGTGTCCATGAGTTTTTCTACCCCTGGAACGCGACCATCTTACCGGCTTCTTTTTGTCTCCCTTTCGCATTCTCCAGGCCGCAAATTCTGGTCCATTCTTCAATGTCTTGCTTTCGATTCTTGGCGTGCCTGTTCTCGGTTCCCCTTGTAGTCTGCTTGACTTTGCTGCACGCAGATATTATCGATCTCCTAACAGATAGTCCTTCTGATAGTCCGACGTGTTGGATCCTCCATTGTTTCAGGTAGATATCTATCGGAAGAACAGAAGACTCGTGTTGTAGTACCCTACTGCTGGTAGAGTTGTATGGTCCTGTCATAAGCTTCAAGCATTTACGTTGGATACTTCGCAGTGGTTTGACTATCCTTTCTGGTATCCTACCCGTTGGCCCAGCTACAGCTCATATAGAACACCCACAAGTCAGGGCTGGTCTCATTATTGTGCTGTACAAAAGCTTTGACTTCTTGAATGTTGTACCCCAAGTTGACTGCGTCAATCTACTTATTGACTGTACTTGGGTGTGTAAATTTTGTTGGATATGCTTTACATGGGTGTCCCATTGAAGCTTAGGGTCGAAGAATATGCCAAGGACTCGAAGGAAAGACTGTAGAAACGTCAGATTACCTCGTATGCTGATAGTTGCTTCAAGATTGTGTCGCTTCCTTGCTCTTGTAAATTGCATGAGCTGGTACTTGCCTGGCGCAAACTTCACGCCGTTCTTTTCTGCCCATGCCTCGCATATCACGTGCTTTCCAATAACTTCTCGCAGTTTTCTTCGGTTGTATCTGACCATGTTAGTATGTTAGTATTATCAACAAATCCAACTACCGAAGTAGAAGAAGTTTGAAGTATCGACAAGAGCATGCTGACAAAGAAGAGGAAAATAATCGGTGAGAACGATGAGCCTTGTGGTATTCCTGTGCTGGTGTAGATACGTCTTCCTATATAAGACCCGAGATTTACCGAGGTAGTTCTTTCTTCGAGAAATAATTATACGAATCGGCTGATCCACCTTGGAATACCTTTTACTCTCAGGTTGTGTATTAGCCTTTCGTGGGAGACATTGTCAAAGGCTCCTGATATTTCAAGTCTGATAAGTGAAGCGACTTGGTTTTTATCTCTACCCCAGATGTTATAAATCTATTCAGTTAGAAGCTCTGCTGCTGAGATCGTGGACCTGTTGGACTGAGCACCCATCTGTTCGTCTGGAAGAAAATTAAAGTCTTTGGCAGCCTTTGAGATCCGGTTGGCTACTAGTTTTTCAAGAAGCTCACCCATTGTATTTAGAAGTGCTATCGGTCAATAAGATTTCGGTGTGTCATATCTCAGCTTCTGTGGCTTTCTCAGGACAACTGTTACCGATTCTTTGAGCCCCTTCGGATGATACCCCACGGAGATGCAGGCATTGAACAGTTTGCGAGATCTTTACTAAGAGTAGCTTTACATTTCTGGAGAACTCAGTTTGAGATCTCGTCTGGGCCTGGAGCCTTATCTCCCGGTAGCTTTCCGAGAGTTTCTTCTACTTCGGCACAAGTAATGGTGTAGGAGATACCACCCAACTCTTAGGGATAGCAAGTTTCAGTAATATCTGAAATATTTGCTGCCTTAGGTTTTGGGAAAAAAAGCTTAGCCATTACTCGTGCTATCTTTGGGGCTTCGGTCTGGATAGTTCCGTCCGTATCTTTGATGTCTAATATTTAGGGTAACTTCTGTTTGTCTTAGGGATCTTTCCTTGGCCACTTAACAAGTTTCCAGATCTTTTCCGGATCTCTAGAGGCTTCTGATACCGCCGCCCTCCAGCCGATGGTCTTAGCTCTTCTTATATGCGCCTTTTTCCTACTAGTCAGCTTTTGATATTCAATCCAACCTTTTTACACTTTCGCCTTGCCTTTCGAGTTTCTTTTACCGCCTCAGAGCATTGGGTGGTCCGGTGCGGTTTAGCAAACCTCGATGGTTTGGCGTGTGGTATTGTTTCACTGATTATTTTTTTGATAATATCAGTGATGCAGGTTACTCTGCAGTCTAGGGTTGGGCGAGAATCTAGGATTTCGTGGTTAGTTCTCATTTCTATTAGTCCAGTCTCAAGTGTTTTGTTGAATTCTTCTCAGTTTGCTTTCTTTCATAGTCTATTATTAAAAATATGATTATTAATAATTCTCTGATTAATCTCAATATCAAGGGATATCTGGGTGGATGGTGTAGTGGTACACTGTTCGTGCCTGAATTAAATGTGGATTCTGAGTAGCTTGAACACGTACCCCAACAGCGACAGGATAAAAAAATCTGAATCCGGCAAAACTCTACCACAATTGTTGCGGAGATATTGTGCACAGACGAGGGTGTTATCCATTGATGACCACAGGGTAAGAATATTCCCCTTTGGTGGGTAGATACGGAGGAGGGTCGACTGTTTGTGCAAGCGAATAAACCTCAAAGCGGTATCTGCGAAAGATACCCAGAGTATGAGTGTTTTTAAAGTCAAAAGAGTCATGCCATGTGAATTCATAGCATCGGTCATGTGCCATAGCTAGATAGTTGTATACACATTGAATGATTTAAAAAAAAGGGGCTTCACTCAAATAGCCCCACAATATTTAAATATTTATGCCACTCAAAAAAACATTTGATTCCCTGTTGCACAAAATTCAGGAGACAACGATAGTTTGCATTTGCTGACATCCAACCAAGGATAATACCAATAATTTTATGAACCAAAAGAGGAAACGAAGCCTTACTACTATATTTGAAAACTACCAAGTGTATATCATTATACAAAGGAGATATATTAGACACACAAACAATCGGAATAAGAGAGGAATAGGAGTGCTATGAAACAAAATTTTGAGAGAAGCTTTTTTTGTGAGGTTAATTTTTACCGGTGCTCGAATCATGCATTATGCTTGCTGTTTTTGTAAAGTTAAATTATCATAGCTAAATAGCTGCACTCAACATGAATTAAAAAGTATATTCATATCTAAATATTACCTAATCCATTGGTCGAAGTTCTACGGGTCTCCTAGGCCAATGACCTGAGCATCGAGGCAACAGCAGAGACCTAATGAACAGTCATATTAAGCTATATTCCCAATTCCACACCAAAATCCAGCCGATCAACCTATCACCGCAATGTCTCATAGTAAGTTTCTAAATTCTCATTGCAGTATACGCTGACCACTGCGCAGGTAAACGTAATACATCGCGTGCTGTCTTCACATCATACGAGCGCTCATTAGCAAAGGCAGCCTGGGGAGCAACAACTGCACGTCTCTCACGCGAGGCCTTTCTACCGTTTGCCGCGTGTGCGCTCTGTCTACTTTCAGCACGCGCACCCGTCGCCTGTACGGCCGGTCATCTCTTCTGTCGCGAGTGTGCCCTGCAGAACCTTCTATCACAGAAAAAGGAAATCAAACGCCTCAAACAGTCACGCGTGCGGGAAGTCCAGGCAGCAACGGCGCAGCGCGAGCACGAAGACGCCGCCGCTATCCAGCGCTCCTCGGATGACTTCGAACGGGTGCAGGCTGGCTGGAATATCAAGGCATCGCGCACTGGAGACGGCACTGGCGATAAAGACGACGTGAACAGTGATACGCAGGAACCATACGAGAGGCCTGGGGTTAAACGGAAATTCGAGCTAGACCGTGAGGCCGTACAACGAGTGGTGATGCAAGACCACGCCAAGATACGCAAGGTTATGGATGAAGAAAAGGTAAGCGGCTGTCACGAGTTTCTCCCCCTTTTTAACTCTCATTCGGCTCATGGACTTTCCTCAGACAGCCCAGGCTTTATCTTCGTCGTTTTGGGTCCCTTCCACAACGCCTTCTTATGTTAAGGCTTTCGAGCCCAGTACAGCTACTACGAAGTGTACCCCTCTTTGTCCAGCAGCTCCGGCAGATCAACCGCACACCTATTCACTGCACTCACTTATAGACGTCATATTCACCGAGGAAAAGAACAGCGAGACCAACCTCAGCCAGCCTATCTGTCCAGCCTGCAAGAAAATACTGACTAACTCGTCCAAGCCAGTTCTAGCTCGGAGCTGTGGACACGTGCTATGCCAAAGCTGCATTACAAAGTTTATGACAGCCCGTCCAGCTGAAACCTCCATTAGTAGTAATGCTCGGATCACGTGCTTTGTCTGCGACGGAGATCTCTCGGGGTCTCGTCCTCACCAAACAACGGCAGCCAAAGCTGATGCCAAAAGCGCCGCCCGGTCTGGGTTAGTAAGTATTTGCTGTGAGGGCACTGGGTTTGCTGGGGGTGGCGCTAATACCGTAGAAAAGACTGGCGTTGCCTTTCAATGTTAGTTGTGCGACTCTCTGTGCCGTTGATGGGACACCGGCAGCAGTGCTTTCACGGTACGTTTCCAACATCTATTCTGTGTGCCCTATTGCCATAGCACTCCATCCCTCTGTTCCTTGCCCTATCCATCGTTTACTCACATATGGATAATCAGTTCGTAGCGCGGAATCCTACATGACACTGGACCCGTTGTTAGTGTCACATAGAGTCTTTGTCACGTGAAAATATGTATTTACACTTTTGGAAATTCATTGCAGCTTGTCTGCAACGCCTAGGTCTCTAGACATATCTGTAGGTGTGTGATGAGAAATACATATAAAGCATATCATAATCGAATCGCTTTCGAGATCTGAAGAGAAAGATACTAGCTTTAACAGCGGTTATCGTACTAGGCCAAGGGCCCCGAGTTTGGATTCTCTTTATCGTGGCAGGCTAATTGACCACGACAAGAAGCAAGTTTGAGTAGAAAAAGGACTGCAGTATATTGCTAAAGAGACCCTGCGATACTCACAGAATCGAAGTGACACTTAACGGCGGTCAAGAATGTGAGGACTCTACATGATAATTATTCCATCTGTCAGCAACGTCGTAACATCGCAGCGCGTCTCAGCGCATCAGGCGTTATAAGATACCCCAAAGTTATGCTGCTAAATTATAGACAAGCCTTCACCGTTCCCGTTAAAAAATCCTTGATGTGGCCATTAATCTTTAGCGGTGTCTCGGTCAGAGCCCAGTGACTTGAATCAACCTCAGCTCGCTGGAGGGTTTTAAACCAGGAGTCCATGCCAAAGCTCAGATATGGCGGTAGTGCCTCGTCTCTAGAACAGGCAATGAATAACACGGGCATCTGGAATAATTGACTGCCCGCAATGTTTTCGGCAAGAGCGCGCTCGTCTTCGAAATTTAGTTCCTCCGTCCGATACCAATTTAGCGGACCGCGCATGCCTGTGCGCGCATATGACTTGACGTAAAAGTCTAACTCTTCCTCGGAGAGCAGGGGAGGGGGCCCAACGGCATCGAGACGGTCCAGGAAGACACCGTGGGAGGCAGCAAAGAGCGGCTCCTGGGTAGGCGTACGGCCGCCGAAAATTGCGGAAAAGAACTGGCGCAGCTTAGCTTCGCCGACAATGGCCGATTCAACTTCCGGGCCCATGAGTTGTATCTGGTACTTGAAGTTGGGAAGTGTCGAGAGTCTGATAAATTCGGAGCGGGGTGGAGCGAAGACGGTGCCTACGACAAACATCGCCTTTATGAGACTGGGATGATACAGTGCAAAGCGATAGGCGATAGCACCGCCCCAATCGTGCCCACCGAGAATGATGGACGGGAGGTCGAGCTCGGCAGCTAGCGCAGCCATGTCATCGGCCGCCCGTTTCATTGTGTAGCAGGCGAGCGCGTCGGGTGCGTCGGTGCCTCCATAGCCCATCATGTTAGGCACAACGACGCGAATGCCGAGTGAGTGGAAGAGAGGAATCTGATAGCGCCAGCCGTAAGCGAGATCGGGCCAACCATGGATAAGGAAGACAGTGTTGCGAATGGGTCCCTCGGGCTCGGCAAGGATATATTGGTATGTTTGGCCGTGTAGCTGTATTGATTTCCATTGAATGCGCGGGTCCGTCGGCGTAATCTTGTCCGCCATGTAGATAAACTAAAGCCGGGCCGAGGGTTTCAAGAATGGTTAGATGCTTGCCTGTCGGAAGTGCAGCGTAATGTGTTGGGAATATCGAATTATTTAAATAGAGGTCTAGCGCTGATCCAACAATTTGGATGAATAATCCTAGCCTCAACCAATTTTTCCCCACCAAAATTTTGTAGAAGTTGGGTGATTGTGGTTAGATAAACCATGCCCAAGAAAACTACATGTTCACTCTTGCTGTTAACGTGCATAGCAGCCATGGATAAGGAGCAGTTGCATCAACAAAGCTCATCGACACTCTCAACCACTTTTTATATTGCTACCTAGGACAGTTCCGTGGTGTTCTCCGGTATAGTTTGAGTAGCCTGGGCACCTACTCCACTTGGGAAGGAGACGCCTCAGACCACATTTCGCGCGGAGAAAAGTAAATGGATGATGGAGGCATGTCTGGATAACTCAGGGTTTTTGAGACGTTCCCCTGGGTTGGTATTCACGGATGAGGGTTAACTTGGGGTGAAGAAAAAGCCGCCATAACTTCGCAGTGGTACTCGCAAATGAAATCTGAGGCATGAGTGCTCTTCCTTTACGTTGAATCATCTATTCTTTACTTTTCTTTGATGTTTTGTCATAGCTAGATAGCTGCATACGCAATTAAAATCTTATGCAAAAAAATGAAAAGCTCGAGCCTGCAACTAAGGCCTCAAAGCTACAAGCCACAAGAGGCTTGAAAAAGAATTCTGGTAAAGGCCTCTCTAGTTCTATACATGCCTCTTCTAAAAGTCAACCTATACATACTTTGAAATTAGATACCCAATCTAACCCCCTCCGACGCGTGAATCAGCGCTTGCTTTATACCAACCCTTGACGGCGACGACCAATGATATTGCCATATCGCTATTAGCATGGCAAAACGCCGGTGTTCAACACCTTCGCGCTCTTCCGCCAGCTATTGCAGCTGATCTAAAAGCTAACGTGACACGCTGCGCTGCCCGGGTCATCACCGACTTGCCAGTCTTTGAGCAGTCAACCACTGTCTCACAAACTAATGAAAATAAGATACATAATCCCCCTCCAGCAATCAAACACTCCTATCATACGCATCTATGGCGAAGAATGGCTCCTCCAACCCAGCCCAGCCACTCCAAACTAAAAAAACTGCAACGATAGCTATAAAATCCAACACCGACTCGAGGATCATGGTTCGCTTAGCGCCTCATCACCCCTAACGCCACCAATACTCTCTCCTTATCTGCACGAAGTTGAGAAGCCTTCAAGACTGTCCAGAGCTAATCAAGGACATTCGCTCAGTTCCATCTGGCATTGCTTTGGTTGCCTCCTTTCCCTAACAAACTCCAGATCTTCTCCGGGAAGCTGTATGTGTGTTTGTTTTATTGTGCTACTTGAGTCTATGACTATCTAGTACATTGGGCTCCTCTCTGACCCAGGCCACACCTTGTACAGTGCTCCTATCCTCTTTTGTTACTTGAAAGATCATTGATATATTCCCCTTGATGAATAGTCATTCAGCTCAGTATTTACCCGTGGAATTCAGCCACCTTTTCCACGGAACCTTCTACCCAAAAAAAAAGAAAATGGTAGCAATGGAAACTGCGTGCGCGGGAAAAAGTCTCAAAAAACCTGCAGCCCCAGCCAGGCGAGGCCTAGACACCGGGACCACATGAGGTGCGCATATTCATCTATATCTCCCTTCTTTGTAACATTCGAGGTCGACTTGATCCAATCCACCATCTCCGTATCGGGTGCTGGGTACACTCCGGAAACTCATCGGATGGCTTTTCCTCCATGATCAAGGGTGGGTGATAGGTAGGGCTCCGACCCTACCATCTGATCTGATCGTGATTAGCTTCATGATAGTGGTGATAGGGGAATGTGTTGAGAGATGAAGACGATACAGACCGCGAAAGCGATTGGGAATCCTCTTCGAAGTGAGGACTTTGTTACTCAATCTCGGCTCTGCAGACTCTACAGTGAGAGCTGGAGGTTCGTAGGGGACACCACTGACAGGTGTTGAGAATAGTCCCCCTCCGGGAAGCTGTAGCTCTGCAGCCTATGACAGGAATTGTACCAATTGAAGGCATGAAAAACGTGCAAACTTTTTTCTAGGCCCAGTTCCAAAATAAGGATACAATTCCCCCGGTTCACCGGAGGCCTTATCTGACGTAGATATTCGGCAGGAGCTAGCAGGTGCCAAAATTGACGCTGAGTCAAGTTTTTCCATTTCATGGACGCGCTGATCGCGGGAATCCCCTGAGTGGGAAGGAACCTTCCGTCTAGTAGTCTCAAAGGCAGCTTCAGAGAAACTCCCGTCCAGAATTCGCCTTTTTGCTCGCTCCTGTCTGGATTAGGTCCTGATCAACGATATCTAGCCTAATTGTGCTATGTTGCAGGCTTCTATTCCAATTATTCATCGGGTCATCATCAGGGTTGTGAGTAGTTTCGGTTTGGCGTGGGTTATTAGATAGATACCTGAGCGTGTCGCATGGTAGTCAGACATGCGACTCAAGTTGCAAAATTCACCGTGAACCTCAACCCCAAAATGATGATACAAATCAAGTTTTATGTGTTAGGTCCTGTATAGCTAGCAGGTTGGAAAATAGGGACTTTAGCTGTAGATAAAGACGCTGTAGCCCTCTGATAGTTGGGACAAGTCCTCAACCAAATAATATCGGAATCAATCCTAGCATCTCATTAAGCAATCTCAGGAATCTATTTCCGTGTCTATGATAATAGACTAATATACAAAGTTGATAACTAGTCCTTCCCCGACGATAACTCAGTTTGATATGTGGACCACTCGTATACTGGGTGCATTCGCTGATACCACTCGAGGCCTTGGTGCTAGGGACTTTCACTCTTGCCACCACCAATTTATCCACCAGAGGGAAAGCAGGGAAACCCTTTGGCTACCCTGACTTACCTTTGACATCTTGTAAATAGCCATTTTGCGAGATATGGCTTTATAGTTCTCCCCTTCCTGAGTGAGGTAGATTTCTAGGCTACCTACACTTTAACTCTAGAAGACGAGGTGCAGGAGGTAGACCATAACACTTTCCATCGTTGCTTGTTTTTAATGTGGCGGTAGCACTATCCGAAATCGTAGCCTCGGCGCTTACAATTACCGCAATGTTGGAAACACTGGAAAAACAAGAGTCCCAGCATATCCATTTATGACCTCTTCACTCACGCGTCCCCGTCCCAGCTGCATGTCCTTCCTTAAGATGTAAATCCCCATTAGAACAACTGTCCTTCATAGATCAAGACCCGAGCTTTATATATTATGACTTGACTTCCTCCTTAGGGGTATACATGGCATCGTAACTTTGTTGTGGGAGAAAGCCGATTTTTGGTGAGGAAGATTCACGACTATATTTGGAGCGACTTCTCGTTCAGTCATTGAGGCAAATAGATTTCTGATATAAGTAAGTTGGAGGACTCGCACGAGAATGACGTATCCAGCATTGTTGAGAAGTTATCAATTTTAGATATCTTTGTATTTGCTCTTGATTTCAATTCGGTTGCGCTTATTCTTGGCTATCCCAGATATGCAAAGGGCACTGAGCGATTACACCGGCACTACTGGAAGGTAAAGAATTCGTCTTTGCCGACACAGGTCAGTTTTGATTACTTGAAGAGTATCTCTTTACTACAAGAGGACTACATAAGCTAAACTATTTGAGGCACTGAGAGCCACTTTATTCTTTCAAATCCAAACCTTAACCCCTATATGCCTCAACGCCATACGCTTTTGAATCTACCTCAGTAACAAGACATTCTCGCGTTATATTAGTAGATTACTGTATCTTCTTCATTCTCTACCATCACCTCACAGTTGTGCTCCTCTCGTTCCCTTTCCTCAGCTTTTGAATCTTTGTTGGGATAATCAACAATATCATTAGTAGTGGGTGGAATTACGGAGGTAGCAGCATTATGAGCGTCAGCAACAACAGCGATGTTTGGAGGCTCGGTATGGGGTTCACCCACTAACTCCATGGAACTTTCGTTCAATTTTTCGCCATCATTCAGTCTTACTTGATCATTGCCATCCTTACTAGATTCAGATCCTTTAAATTTAGCCGAAGTAGACGCAATCTGAGATTTGATTTCCTCTTCTTGTTCAGGAAGTAATTCCCATGGCTTATAATACTGTACAGACATTAGAATATGACGTGTTTAGCAAGGAATTACAAGTTACCAATTTTGGCTCAGTCTTGGTGCACAAAAAGTTTGCCATGGCGAGCATGTTGGATTTTTGTATTTGAAACTTTTCCGGATTAGCCTTTATCAAGTTATAGGCTGAGTTGGTACGCTTACTGATTCTTTTTTGAATTTAGATTGCTCTTTGATACGAGCTGCATTTAGTTTGGCAATGCGTTCTACCTTGTTAACATTATCCTGCACCTTCCGAATCTTAGCCCGTTCCAATTGACGTTTTTCAATTTCAAGCCTTCGTCTTTGCTGTCCATTTGGCGAACTTTGACTTAGGGTGCTAAGTAGCCCACCAAAGAGTCGCTGCCCTCGCTTTTTCTCTTCAACTACGCGACTTTGCCGTCGTGCTTCGCTAGGTTTACTGTCGCTTACAATTGGAATATCTGCATGAGAAATTTCGGTTTTAATTTCCTCAGCTGCTATTTGGGTATTTTCTTGAACAGTTTCCTGAGGAATACCCTGTATGTGACTGGATGCAATTATTGAAGTTGTTCCTTCGATGTCTACGCTAAATCTGTCCTGGATAGTCTCTTTCAATTTGTCTTTTGCGAGTAGTTGTGATGGTTCCTGTGAGACTTTCCGATCAATATCTCCAGTGTTCAGCTGTGGAACTTTCTGAGTGTCTTCATCTGTTGAATTTTCGGTAATTACTTGAGAATCTTCCTGTATATTTTCATGAGATAAATCCTGAGGTTCACTTTCCGCGGTATCTGGACTAATTTTTTCGGTAGTAATTTGGGATGGTTCCTGTGAAACTTCTAATATAATATCTTCCGTGCGTTCTTGGGTAATTTCTTGAGCGGTTTTCTGAGAGAAACTTTGAATATCACTTGGAACGGCCACCGGAGTTACTTCTTCGATAGTCGCTGGAAAGGCATCTCGAGAGTTTTCTTTTAATTTTTCTTTTGCTAGTACTTGTGAAACTTCCTGTTTGTCTTCATGCACTGAATTTTCCACATTTATTTGGAGATTTTCCAGAGGAGCTTCTGGCGATATCACTTCGATGGCTTCCTCAAAGGTTTCTTGGGCAATTTTTGGAATTAATTTTTCCGTAACTAGCTCGGAGGGCTCTTGAAAAACATCTTCGATTAATGTTTCAGAGGCTTCTTGTATAATTTCCTGAGATAAGATCTGCACCTCACTTTTTGCGACTTTTGAAGTTATTTGTTCAGCAGCTAAATGAAAAAACTTTTGAGGAGATCCGGCAGCGGGTATTTCTGAAATGCTCTGGGTATCACTTGATGTAAATTTTGTGATAGTATATTCAGCGTCTGGTAGAAAACCTTTCTCAGCTACTTCCATAGTAACTTTTTCGTTGATCGCATTTGTTGTTTCCTGATTGATTTCTTGTATTCTTTCAATCATGGGATTTTTAAAAGCTTCATGTGCAGTTTCTTGAGCTGATGTATCAGGTTTGCTTAGTGCGGCCTCTAAGGTCGGTTGCTCAGTTGCTACTTGAGAAGCTTCTTGGGCGATCCATGAAGAGGCCTCATGAAGGGCGGTCTCATCAATTGAAAGAGGAGCTATCTGATTCATTTCCTGTGTAAAGGGTTGGACTACATTGGAAAGGGGTTCCTGGTCAGTAGTTCGAAATATTTCTTCGGCGACATCTTTGGAAGAATTTTGTGATGTTTTACTAGGAGAAGAAGAAGTTGGCCCCCTACTATCATGAAGGCATATACGTTTTGAATCACTATCTGACGAGGGTGAAGGATATCTCTTAGATGGTACAGGGCCAGTTGCAGACGAGCAACTAGAATTTCTAGATCAATCTAATTGTTAGCAGGAGAGCTCAACCATCTTTCGCTCGCAAGTTTTGAGAAAACTAACTTGGTGTTTTCCGCCATCACAGGTTTTCAAGTTTGTGTTATTTACAGCTCACCATCAAGTGTTGATCAAAAGAGAGGAGATTTGAAGGCGATGATGTTTCTAAATACGGACTAATATACCGAAAAAATCGCACGAATACCATCGCCAACTTATCGCGAAAGCCGATACGCGATCACGATTAGACGGTTAAACTGTAAACACAGTTCAGCCGTGCTCGAACCCGACCGTTACTCAAACTGGTAGTACTATTCAAAGCAAACGCACTTCAAAGGTAAAGGAAGCGAAAAACTAGTTTACGATGACTTGCCTAGGTTTCGGGAATGGAATTATAATAATAAAACTAGAAATCTGCAAAAAACAGCATCTCTTGCGGAACCGCTTTTAGAGACGATTTGTTAAAACTTCCAAAATTTCAAACCCTTCTTAGTGATACAGCTGTATTCTATTAAATCTCTGTCTCCAATACTTGTTTAAATGAACAAGGTAATACATCAATCACGATGAATAACATGATCGAAGGCACTACACCTGCCAGCATGAACCCTGTGATTCTTCAGGTCCCCTCGTAAAACCTGTAAAGCAGAGAATGAGTCTGACGATAGCCAGGAGGACTTCTATTGCCAGCAATTCTACGACATTCGCTGCTACCCAAGGTAGCATATAAGTTGTGCAGGATTAATTAACTTGTACCGTGTTTCAAAACTTCATAGACGTTTAAGCACAACCCCTAATTTATCTTAAGGCAAGGATTGCGGAATTTGTCTTAATTGCACACAAACTTCCAAAGCCCGACCGGTCATTCACACAGAATGCATTAGAAGGGCGGTCACTTTTTTCTGATATGCAATTAATGTCGGTAACAGGGAAATTACACGGTGAGTTGTTTCTGCAGGTATTCGTCACAGCAATACAGCCTCAAGCGGGCTTCGTCTTTAGGATGTAAGGTCAAGATGATCACGGGTTATTAGGCTCTCTAACTGTGTACTAAAGCGTAGAATTTTGGGGTATGAACGGTGGAAAGAGATCGTGAGATAGGAATAGTATATGGTAGACTATCTAGGGTGCGGATATTACGGCCTGTAGGCTTAAAGGACCTTTGGGTACTGATATAGTTGTGTTCTCGATGGACATCAGAAATAAACTAAATGCATACTGCACAACTATTCGATTTACATGAAAAATCAGTGAGATATTATACTTTCACAGGTAGCATCGAGTCCACAAGATATTGATATTCGCAGTCTCGGTTATATTAGCTCATGTTGCGAATAGAACTTTATTTTCAGGTACAGGCAATTTACTGTTGACTGACGCTACAACATAAGGAAATTTTATTAAATCTTCTTTTTTACTGTACATGCAAAAATCATAAAATTACTTGTTACTATCACTTAACAACTACAATTTTGATACGCTCTGACACTACCACCGGCAGACGATTAGCCACAAACTTGCTTAAGTGGACATACCTTACCGTCTCTCAAGGTACATATCAAATAATTAACGACTCCTTAGATAGATCAGCAATAATCCATATTCCAACAATTTTACCGAGTCAATCTATTCAAGCTTCAAGTTTATCAAAAAACTTTGAGCACTATTCGTAGTCATCATGTCGCGACATCATCCGTGAGTTCCTAAGAAGTCCTTGCTTCTAAATAGCAGTTCAACTAAAAATTCATTTGTTCACAGTGATCTCGTTATGTGTCGGAAACAATCGGGAATTTCTATCGGACGGCTGTGTGATAAGTGCGATGGAAAATGTCCTGTATGTGATTCATACGTCAGACCGACAACTTTGGTTCGCATATGTGATGAGTGTTCCTTTGGAAATTATCAAAACAAATGTGTTGTCTGTGGCGGAGAGGGCATAAGTGATGCCTTTTACTGTTTTGAGTGTACACGACTTGAAAAAGACCGTGATGGGTGTCCCAAAATTATAAATCTGGGTAGTTCACGGACAGATTTGTTTTACCAAAAAAAGAATTTCAGAAATCACTATCAATAGCAGGAGTGTGGCTCGAGATTAAAACAATGAGGCATTGCATTTCTTAGCGGGGAGAGAAATTACGAAAAATGGAAAACATAATCTTTCTTCCAACGTCGAACTACAAAACGGCTGGACCTAATGATTCGGTCAATTCTATGGCTCATTCCACGATAGAGAAAATACAAAGATGGCTAGTCTTAAATCATGATTGTTCCTGGAATAGGCTACTCAATATTATCACAAAATATTCATGGATCAGAAGCACTCGCAGTCAGTCTCCGATTGAAGGCCAAAATCAAAAAAAGATACTAACCTATCAGAAAGCCACATTGACTTGTAAAATCATTTTTTCATATCACTTACAAGCCACCTAAGTCGCTGTAAAATAAATATACTTACTATTTTCACTCAGATAGTAGGGATAAACGAAAAAAATATAGTTACACTCAAACAAGTGTATCGATCTACTGCCAAAGACAAATCATTATTAAACGTTTATCTATTACGAATACTTCTCTTATGGCTGGACACTAAAAGCTGTATACTCACATGATCATCATACGTATCGTTTCAGTCAGGCATGGGAAAGAAGTTGTTAGCAAATGAATATCAAAAAGCCACTTAGCAGACGAGAAAGACGACCCAAATTATCGTATTCCTAGGTGAGTCTTTCGTACACTTTCACGAATTAGTGTCTCAATACATATGAAGAATAGGTGTAATAGAATATGTAAAAAAGTAATCTCAACGCCGCTGAGATAAATTTGACATTAATTGATGTATACCGAAAGGCGGAATTGAAAATTAAGGGTACATTAGTTGGACGGAAAAATAGTGTTTTTATATTGCTGTTGCTACATTCATCCATTGCCTATCTTTAACACACTCTCTTCCACATTCTTTAACAGCAGGTTGCCAAAATACAACCGAATAATTTTTACTGTAGAAGACTTCATAGGTCATGGGGGACCATCTCACAGACAAGTAATTTTTATGTGACTGATTATCACGAACTAGGTAAAGATCTAACTAGAAAACTATTTCATTAATCTTATCAATCCAATTGTAGAGTATCCTTGATCTATTCTTAAATAAAGATACTTTATATTTATCCCAGTGAATAATAATAAAAGATTTTTTTGAATTTGATTTCAACTAGCCCGATTTGGCGCCCGAAGGCCCATGCAGGTGTCTACGAACTCTAATATTTATATAGGAGGAAACTTTTATGGTAAGCACTCCCTCAACTTTTCAATTTATATACACTTTAACGTTGTATTACCTTCAAGAAGTGCACTAACACTGTTATGTCCAGTGCGGATACCGTTAACTTCATTGCTACTAGCAGGAGATCACATTTCCCCTGCTCTCCTCTCTCCCTAATCGTGGCCTCGACTTCAAGCGTCAGTCGAAACTGCTCCAATCTCTCTTCATGTTGAATCCACATTGTATTTCTTACCACATCTTTCGGGTTATTCATCATCGCCTCAAATGACTGATTCTCTGCCTTTCTAAGTCTCCCCTCTCCCTGTAGCACAGTCGTGACAGGCCATGATCATGTGCTTGACGTTCTGGGACGTGTATCCACACTGGCATCGTGAGCTGTCTACTCCGGGAACATGTCTACTCTGCAGACAAGAGTTAAACCCAATGTGCTCTTTTTTTTTTTTTTAAATCATTTAATGTGTATTCAGCTATGACACATGACCGGTGCTATGTATACACATCGGATGACTCTTTTGACGTTAGAAATTCTCATGTTCTGGATTTCATTCGTAAATTCCACTATGAGGTGTGTTCGCTTACACAAATAGCCGATTCTCCTCCGTGAGTACCTACGAAAGAGACGTTTCGAAACCTTTGATGATCCAAGCATGCCTTCGTCATCCACATGTACCAGTGTCGCGAAAACTGTGCCTGTGTTTTGCCGGATTTGAACCAGCGGTCTACCGTCTAGAGTGGGATGTGTGTCCGGGCTGTCCAGACTCTACTTGGTAGACCGGCCAAGACAATGTACTACAGCACCATCGACCCACGGCGATGTTTACATTGTCGCGTCTACAGTGGCTAATTTAGTATTACAGCGTGGAAAATATAGGCAGGTGCGCAGACGCTCTTCATTCAGTTTACGACCTCATCATTTTCCGACTTAAGTTAAGTATCTATCCATACAATATCATACTTCACATCATCCTTTAGATGATATTATAAATCGTTAGAATGCGCATCAAGTATGTCCTCCACAGATGACAATTTGATACGTTCTCAGTATCCATCGTGCCATCAATCCAGTTTGAGCGCACCATCCCCGCGACTCACTATTGCATATGAGCCCGAGCAACTTCACCGAAGGACAGCAGAGAATTGCAAGACCGATTACCTGTACGCGGTATCTTCCACGAATCTGGGGGTGAAATATTCTCCCAGAGTCAAGTTCAGTCAAATTTCGCAGTACCGAACAAGTTGGCCCACGAGGCAATGATTCAAAATACTCTACAGCATTAACTTTTCACTCTCAACGAGTTCGACCCCTATCTAAGTCTCATAAATTCTACAAGTACGATCTAGTATATCCTCATCCCAATGAACACATCTCTCATCGGCTTTTTCTGGCCTCAGCTGGTCGCCAAACACACGCTCGCGCCGATATTTACACCCGACGGAGGAAGCAAAGCGTGGCGCGCAAATCTGGGAGACAGTTTTTTGGGATGGTCGTGAGAGGGATCAGGTCAAGTTGGTAAGATTATACAGAGGATGGATACAGTCTCGACGGGCATGCAAATTGGAAATTTGACAATGAGTTTCACGAATTGAGCTTTGTGCGTGCGTCAAGACCTAGGCTGCGAAAGTGCAGGCAACACTATAAAAATCGCCGTGGGTGGATGGTGCTGTAGTACATTGTCTTGGCCGGTCTACCAAGTAGAGTCTGGACAGCCCGGACACACATCCCACTCTAGACGGTAGACCGCTGGTTCAAATCCGGCAAAACACAGGCACAGTCTTCGCGACACTGGTACATGTGGATGACGAAGGCATGCTTGGATCATCAAAGGTTTCGAAACGTCTCTTTCGTAGGTACTCACGGAGGATAATCGGCTATTTGTGTAAGCGAACACACCTCATACTGGTATTTGCGAATGAAATCCAGAGTGTGAGTGTCTAAAATGCCAAAAGAGTCATCACATATGTATACATAGCACCGGCAATGTATCCTAACTAAAAAGCTAAATATACATTAAATAATTTATTTAAAAAAGACAGCAGAGTCATATAATTGTCATACACCTCCCAACTTATAACCAAAACACCCAGCCCAAATTTTGTAAAGTACTTCTAACCTCTTTATTACTTCAAAGAACTTTGGTATATTGCACGTGATTTATAGCCATTCAGCTCAGTATCTGACCGTGGAATTCAGCTACCTTTTGCCGGCAAAGACGAATTCTTCAGCTTCCAGTGGTGCCGGTGTAATCGCTTAGTATGCTCTGCATATCTGGGGTAGCCAAGAAGAATCGTATCCGAATCGAAGTCGAAAGCAACCTCAAGCACTTCTGAAATCGACGACTTGTCGTCAATGTCGGACCTATCTTTCTCACGCGAGTCCTCCACCTCAATCTTACTACAGCACCTCGACTCAAATACCGATAAAGGGGTTACTCCAGTTGCAATCGGGCATTTGCCTCATCAAAAACCGGCCATCTCCCACTACACATTTAAGATGCTATGTATACCTGCGAGGAGGAATTCAAGTCATAATTCTACAAAGCTCGGGTCTTAGTCTATGGGGGACCGTTGCTCTAATGAGGCTTCACATCTTGAGGGAGGTCAGGCAACTGGGACGTGGGAGAGACGAGTGAAGAGGTCACAAATGGGCATGCTGGGACGCATATTTTTCCAGTATTTTCGACTTAAGGGTGTCTATGGGCGCAGAGGCAACGATTTCGGATAGTGCTACCGACACTCTAAGAACAGGCAGCGATGGAAGGTGTTTTGGTCCGCCTCCTAGTCGTCATCTCCCCGAATTAAAGTCTAGGTAGCCTGGACACCTACCTCACTCGAGAAAGGGGGGACTGTGAGTCCATATCTCGCGTGGTTGCTATATACAAGATGGAAAAGATATGTTAGGGTAGCCAAAGGGTTTATCTGCTTTCCCTTAAGTGGACATTGACGATTGAGGGAAGGGTGAAAGTCTCTAGGACAAATATCTCGATTAGTATCAGCAAATGTACCCACTACACGAGTAGTCCAAATGTCAAACTGAGTTATCGTCGTATTTAGTCGTCGGGGAAGTCAGTCTTCTCCGTGTCATGCTCTGTGAGTGCAGAGCTTGTGCCCGTCACTAATAAACTTTCACACTTTCATCCAGCCACCTTTTCAACGGAACCTTTTTTTACAAAAAAATAAAAAAGGTAGCAAAGGAACCTGCGTGCGCGGAGAAAAGTTTCAAAAAACTTGCAGCCAAAGCCCGGCAAGGACTAGACACCGGGACCACATGAAGTGCGCATATTCATATATATCTCCCTTCTTTATAATATTCGAGGCCGAATTGATCAAATCCACCATCTCCGTATCGGGTGCTAGGTACGCACCGGAAACTCACCGGACGGCTTCTCCTCCATAATCAAAGGTTGGTGATGAGAAGGACTTCGACCCTGCCATCACGAAAGCGAATGGGAGCCCTCATCGAAGTTAGGACTTTGTTACTCGATCTCGGCTCTGCAGGCTCTACGATGAGAGCTGAAAGTTCGCAGGAGACACCACTGACAGGTGTTAAGATAAGTCCCCCTAAATCTATCATACATGCAGAGCATTCAAGTCTCTGTTATTCCTTTCTTTAACCGTTGAAGCAACCATCATCTGCTAATACGTGCAGCTTGCAGTAATTACCAAAAAACTAGATGCGAGGAGCTCTCATACAGGAATTAAACCTGAATCCAAAGATGTAGCTAACCCTCCTTAGCGTTTCGGGAGGTCGACCATTTTAGCGCTACAGAATTTTATGTGGCCAAAAGAAGTGCTCTACCTCCCTAGCCTCCTTTCAATGGAGTCCATAGTTCGAAACTCTAGGTCAATTCAAAGTGGTGACGAAAATTTTCTGCTGTGAAGGACTTATCTCGAATCTTTTGGGTCGTTAAAAGCACCTGAGCGTGCCATAGACTGATTTCAAGAGAGCAAAGGACACTGCAAACACCGTCATGGTTGGATAGTGCATCGTCTTGGCTGGTTTCCCAATTAAGGTCATGATAGCTTGGATACATATCCCACTCATGACAGGAGATCGCTGGTTTGAATCTGGCAAAACTAAAGTTAGAAGTCAGAATAATTGGGACTATCTAGTAGGCCCCGTAGTTGATATACACGTGACTACAAATTCTGGACTTCGTTTCACTTCGGTAGTTAATTGAACCAATGTGCTCCACAACTTAAAGACTAAGGGGTCATTATTTCCTTAATACTAAACTATATTTCTCGCGGTGTGAGTTTACATGGATAAAGTAAGTATTCTTGGAAATTTAAAGATTTTGAAATTTGCTTTGGTGGGTACTTGCGGAAGAGAATCGACTGTTTTTGTAAGCATGCATACCTCATAGTGGTTTATATTAATTCATTTTATTGTCCTGTCTGAGTCTATGACTATGTAGGACATAGCACCGGTCATGTGTCATAGCTATCTAGCTCCATACATATTAAATGATTTAAAAAAAGACTGATTATGAAAGGAAATTTTTCTTGTCAATATGACTCAATCTTGACTTTGTAGACTCTGAAGTGCGAGTTAGAGGTTTGTAGGGGACATTATCGAAAGATATCGAGCCTCGACCACTTCATTACCAGTCTTTAGAAGACGAGGCTAATAGCTAGAGACTATCTAATCAATCCCTTCTGTAGCGATCGATGACTTGGCTCAAGGAGAGTAGATTTGGGCTTACTAGTTTATCGTCTAGGGTGATTACCCTACAGTAATCATTCGATCACCCCAGAGGGGCAAAGAATCCGATGCAGAGACGTGAGACTGCGACAGATCTCAGTGGTTGGTTGACAACACGCGATGTCTAGGAATCTTCTCCGATCTGTGGCGCAGGCCAGTATTGCCACCCATCTGTGTTTTTCAAATATATTCAGCTGTGCTCAATCTCAAAGTAATATTTCATCCGAGCATCACCTAGCGCCGGATCATGACCAAACTTCCATTCTGCTGGAGAAAGAAGTTTTCAGAGAGGATCCGTCTCAAAATTTTAGACTTGGTAGCTTCCATATTGGTAATAAATGCGATGAGGGTTGTTGGAGCCGGGGTCGAGAGTGAAACTGTAGGTGAAAGATGGCTTTGTGCGATGAACGGGAAACAGCCAAATTCTCACACACTGCTAACCTCAAGCTTAAAGCCTAGGCTACGAGGTTAGCTTACTTTGCCATCATTACCCACTCGAGACTAGTGTAATATAATCACTAACAAGGCGGAAAATAATAGAAAAGAAACGAATTCTATGCCAAATACGGTTCCACCTATTTCAGCTTTGATACAGTCCACTATTTGCCTTCCTAGTAGCATACGTTCTTTCATTTATTCCTTATGAGCTTTAATCCTGATAGGATTTTTCTTCACGCACTAGGTCTTGCGCTTCCCTAGCAGCTCCACCTCACCATCTTAAGTTAGTCGAGTCGCAAAATGTGTCTGAGCCATGTAACAGACTTATTCGGTCAGATGGTCTTAATTTTTTAAAACGATGGGTGAGCTATGTTAATTCTAGTGGTCAATTCAAAGATTGCCTAATGATCTGCATACGACTTGAGAAAACCTACCGATTGTATGTCTCACATCATAGATTAAAGTAAGAAGTTCATTCGTGATAACCCAGTACACTTGCTTGCAAAGCCTTCAAACGCGATCGCTGTTTCTCTCATGTAATATGATTTTCCCGTGGGAAACTTCAATTTTTCGTCTATGTGGTGCCGACAATGACGAAGACTGAAAGCTAGCCCTAGGCCTATGATTGAAGATATGAGAATGCAATATAAATCTGACATAAGATGTTCATGCTGCGGCTGGTTTTTCTAGTAGCATATGGTATGGAGCCTGAGACTTCCCATTAGCTCACTCACTAGTTCTGACATCTACCATTTTTTCACTTATTGTTTTTGCAGCTATCTAGCCGTGAAAAAAGGTCTGTGTCTTAATAAAATGTTGGATGGCTCCTAACTTCAGAGACATTCATCCTTTATGCTTCATTTGTAAATATTACTATGAGGTATATTTGCTTCCGCAAAACAGTCGATCCTCCTTAAGTACCTACCAAAGGTAAGTTTCAAAACCATTGGCTATCCAATCATGCCTTTGTTATCCATGCACGTCAGCACCGCGAGAAATCTGATCGAGATTTTCTAAACCCTAACGAGCGATCTCCTGTCTCAAGTGAAATATGTGTCTAAGCTATCTAGAAACTACTTGGGAGATTAAACTAGACGATGTACCATCACACCATCCAACCAAGGCGGATTTTAAAGCGTCGCCCACACTCAACACAAGTCGTCTAGCGCATACTCCTCAACCTGGGAAACTTCTCTCCGAAAGTCGAAATCTAAATGTCGGCGTGATTTTATACATCTTTTGCATCATCTTTTACACCTTTCTTGACCTCTCTCACAACTAGCCCAAGAAAATATTTCACAGATTTGTGTATCACGATTTATTTCCTCCTCCAGGTATTAATATCTACGTGGGCGTATATTTGATGAATGCTCAAGGCAAGAAACTGAGTCTACGGGAAGTGTGGTCATGAAAATGAGGATGTAATAAGTCGTGCTTACAAACTTGGTGAAGCTTAATGGTAACCGATCTCGTTGGGTGTGAGATATCGACGCGGGAAAGAGTTTTGGTTCATTGCCGCGTGGGCCGCAATCGGTATGATGAAATCTAACTTGACTTGACTGAGAGAATATTTCTCTCTCAGACTCGTAAACACCATAGACATGCGTTCAGTCTTTGCTCTTCAAGTCGGCTCTCATTTCCCAGAATTCATCCCTCAATCTTTCATTCCTCTTTCCAGGCCGCGCCTTCACAATAATAATTGCTATTTATTTCTAATTTATACACCACATCAAATTTCCTCCAATAAACCTCACTGTAGAGCTAGAGTTCTTCATAATATCCAATACTTCTGTCATCTTGTCGGATATGCAGGATCGCGTGGTAGCTTGCCATTACCCATCGCACAAGCTATTTCTACCCTCGGGCAATACCTATCACCCTTTAATATTGGAAACGTAAAGTTGACTTAATCACATTATATCGCTTTAGTAGGCTATCACTCAGTTCTTGAAATTACATTTAGTCCAACGATAACATTATTATCATGAGTAGTAAATCGCGTGGGACAAAATATCTTTAGCGGGCAAGAAGCTGTTGAAGTATCAGTCACCAAGTCTCAGAATCCATGTGACTTGATTTGTAAGCAGATGTAGACTAGGGTCTACATTATTTCAATTTATTATCCTGTCTGAGTCTATGACTATGTAGGAAATGTAGGCCTTCTAGGTCTATAGAATGTATTGTAAATGTAGAACTTAGCAGCTAATACTATAAGCATAGCCTAAAATCCATAGGTATTTAACCGCAGTTCAGTTTTCTGACCAAATCTATCTATAATAGAAGCTATGCTAGTATAAATAGAAGTTGATCAGGCAGGCTCAAGAGGGTTAGGACAAGTGCACGGATTGACCAGGATGATGAAACTTAGCTGTGAATTATGGTTCCACCTCCACCAGGCGTCTCTCGTCAATGTTATGGGCTGATAAAAGCAGTGGTCTTGCGCACGATAGCGATTTGTGAGCCGCAGTCCTGCTGGGTGTGGAGCCTTAGAAACTTTGGCAAAAAGATTAGGGCAAGCTGATACTCCTTTTTAAGCAATTAGAGTCCCGTCAACGGCGGGTAGAAGCGAGAGTCGCATGTCAAGGTTGGCTGATGTCATGGCCGACCTAACGAACAGTCGGGCTGATCTAAGCGAGGTACGTGAGGAGTAGGGTAGGTAGGGATATGCTGGTTGACGGAGGATAATATTCCATGCAAAGTGTCCTCCCCGAGCGGGCCTTTTACCCGAAACCCTAACTAACAGGTGGAGCGCTAACCCCACGGTCCAGCCAATATTGCCAGACTTTGGCCTTCCCCCATTCTTCCGCTCGACATAAAGAAGCCGATGTTTCCATCCGTCAGAGTACCGAGGCTATCCTTCTCTTGGTAGGAGATTTGTGGACGAGCTGACATCCTGTCGCTTCATTTACAGCCACCGCGCCACTTAGCCACCGCCGCAAATGACAGTTATGCCACAATCTTGAGCCAAGCTCGGGTGCCGGCTACGCCACGTGACTCGAGGTGGCTTTCTCGATATTTCACTTTGCCCCTGCTCCTCGGCCCCGATGCCTCGGCCTATTGTTCCCGTCTAATGACACCCTCGAGCCTACTATCGTCAGATATCTATTCATCGCTGCTTAGGGTGTAGGCTCATATTGGTTAAGCTGGACTGACTAATCTGGGGAATCTTCGTCAATCACAAGCTCCGAGACCGGACCCCGTCTACCTGCCAAGTGCTGCCGCTGAATTAACCGAGGTAGACGCACACCGGAATTTTACGATTTCTCGCCCTTGCCATCTGCTACCATCTAGCGAATGCGGACAAGACAGACCTCTCCCAAGACAAGGACGGACGCCACGTGAACACCGCGCCACCCCGGTCGTCGCTCTTTACTCGCATAACGCATGGTGAAGCTCAAACTGCCAACTCGGGTAGAGATGGATGATGATCTAGTCGACGCCATAACAAACGGGAAGCCACATCCACCCACACTACTCCCTGTTACCAAAGCCAAAGCAGATGCCCCTCTCTCACCACATCCCTCCTACGAACGTTCTTAGAGGCGGAGCGCTTCCCCTCACCTCTCAATCATGCCGCCCGGGTCCAGGCCTTGATGGTGGCTCCTCTGGCAAGTGCGGCGTGCCTATACTCGCCAGCAATCAGATCTATATATCCCATATTCAATTCCATACATATCCTTCTTTTTTCGACGATCATGGTTAACTCTCAACTACAGCAGCAACAGTATCAGTCGGCTTATCCAGATAGCATTAACATCTACCCCGACTCGGTAGACTACCGTATGAATCCCACCATACCTTATGTCATGGCTCCATCTGCCTCACAGCCCACCTTCAAAACAACAGTCAGCCTGATACCTACTTCCACACCCACAGTTTCTTCCAAGTCAGAAGCCAAACCAAAATCTAAGTCCAGGGCTGCTTCTAAGGCTAAGTCTTGCAAAACCAACGACTCAGGCTTGCGCTGCGAAGGCAGTGGAAAGAAGCGATTTGTGTGTAATTTCACCGATTGCGGAAAGAGCTTCTCCCGATCAGAACACCTTCACAGACACGCCCTCAATCATAAGGAAGGTGATCATACTTGCGAAAGATGCTTGGCACACTTTCGCCGGCGTGATCTTCTCGGTGAGTCAAATTTATGACGCTTTACGCATTTTTAAGTGGGCGCGCTAATCTAGAGCCAGACCGGCACATAGCTCGCCACAAAGGAAAAGATGATGAAGCCGGCGGCGTAGGACTAGGAGTTCTTGCTACCAGGAAGCGGCTCTGGAGAAACTCTGATGGTAAGATTGTGAACTCCAGGAGGCCATCATTTGCCCAGGGTGGTGCTATGAAGCGACAACAAAATAGCTGTACGGAAAAAGTCGAAGCAGCAACTATAAAGCCAGAGATTATCGGGCCTACAAAACCAGTCGCATCTACTATCTCACCAGTGGTGGAGTTTCGAACACCCATTTCACCTCTGGAAATTGACGGCAATGTCATGGGAATATTTACAGAACGCAAGCACGATGAGTCTCAACCAGATTCATCGTGGCTGGACATGGCAGCCCTACCATCGCCTCCCATCTCAGAGATAGACTCTGCCGATTTGAGACGCCGTGACGCCTCGTTGGATCATCTCGATACCCTATACGACGATCCTTGGCAGCTCATGCCCCCAAGTACGCTGCCTGACATAATAACCCATAGCCCAGCAATGACGCGGCACCCAGAATACTTAACAAGTCCTCTATGGGGTGCCCAGCCTTTTCAATCATACATGGGGGCCTTCAATGATGTGCCATCGGACGAAATTCTCCGACTTGATAACGTACCGTGTGAATGGCAGGCCTGGAACCAACATCTCTTCGCGTCAAAATGTCGGGATGATAAGAGAGAAACTTTGGGGGATAATAAGCGAGAGTGGATGATTAATTTGGCAACAGGACACGACGGGATACTTCGCCGGACGCATGGGATGAGTATAAATTAGATAATATCAGATCAAATCACATTGGAAGATAAATCTTCAGGACCCTTTACTCGCTCCAAATCAGTGAAACACGTGTTGTGTTATCCATGTAACTTACCATGGTACATGCTTTAGGTCGCGTCATAGCATATGCACGTGACTGTGGAACTAAACCGTGGGGTGTTTAGTGTGTAATGCATGTGTGGGTATACTGGACCAAACCAGAACTCGATGGAATAGAGATAATGGAATCAGCGGGAGACTGATAGACTGAGAGAGAACGAGCTGATCATTTCTCGTAGGAGAGAAATGATATCATAAGGGAATGTTCTAGCACTAGGCTGTGAACAACACAGTAAGTCTGGAGCAAGATATAAGGAGGTCTCAACCTCCATCCATTCATTTTGTAATTAAGTTTCCTTTATACGAGAATATAGAGTCAAGTCTTACATATCACGAGAACACACGCGACAGCGACTATAGAAACCTGCTGTGAGCATAACTTCCCCAAGAGTATCCATCGTCCTGCTCCCATATAGCCTAGTTAATATAACAACACGTGATGTCGATCGATTCTGCATGGATCTTTTTGGCAGCTTCGTACTCCAGTAACTTTTATCCACACCTGAATATATGCGGTGTTTACTAGTTTGGGTTACTAGTTCAGTGCAATTAATATGAAAATATGATGACTAACTTTAGACTGATGCATATGTCCTGAATTTTGTTGTTGGGGGATATCGAAATTCGGGGAAACCGTTACAAATGGTCCGCGCGCAGGTGCAGAAATTTCCACAAACTCCCGGGCCTCGGAGGTCAAGTATAGACTAAGGGTGACATGGGGCAAGCTCCAATAATAGGTTGCCTAGGAATTTAGAGCCCTCTTTTGCTTCTAGAGACGATAGTAGTATTGCAGCCATAATGGCACCGGCCCGCTCGAGCTTACGATAGACAGCCATCATTCTGCTGCAGTGGCGGAGATGAGACGAGCGAGTACGAAAAATCCACCTGAACTTCAGTCGCAGCCCCGATAAAACGATGAGGCACATGGATTCGAACATCGTGCGTGCCCCGAGCCTGGGATTTTCACACGGCGCCGGCAGGATGATGCAGAAATTCACGGCTTTGTCACGTGGGCAGCCTTAGCGCCTATAATTATAGACGGAAGTCCGTGTGGTGCAAACGATGGCGCGAGCAAGTTGATAGTGCCGATCATAGATGGCTCGGGCTGATCCATCCGCTATCAGCCCTGGAACTCGCTTCGTCCGCATTACTGGATCCCCACCGCCGCTGACATGGCCTTGGGAGCGGCTGCCTGTGATAATCTTGCCCTCTTAGTGCCAAGTTCGACCGAGATAAGCCAAGCCCAAATTGACCGCTGCATCGAGCTTTGCACCCCAGCCCAGCTCCACCATGGTGCAGATGTCCTGTCGACTCCAGCTTCCCTAACGCACTGCACTTTTTGCCGACAGGCCAGCATTGGACCTACGCATCGACTTTAGCCCTTCCCCCCCCACGCGGTGAGCCTGGCTAGGCGAAGCCGGCGCTCTCGTGATGATCAACCTGGGGAAATGCTGGTCAGCCTACACCTCTTTCTCGAGCCCAATCTTCCTGCCAGCGCTTCAAGGATTTGGTGGCGAATTTCATAGATAATCTCACTTTCTAGGCTTCTAGAACTCTTTTGGGATGATCCAAGTCAATCTAGAGGCGTCGCTAGGAAACGAATATTGCTCAAGGTACTCATCCTCAACCACAGCTCTCGCACGACGGACGGATCTCATGGCTGGTAACGTTTGAACAGAACCCCTTAAATTACGCCAGTAAGCTATCTTAGACGCCCGAGCTCTTGAGAGTTGGGTATCTCTGCCTCTGCCACGGTGATACGTCTTACGCGTGAGCCAGTTATGCATACAAAAGATCGTCGCACCGCGGTCATTGTGAATACAACCGATCGAAACATACACAGAGGCGTTGGGCTGAATTAGCTCACCATTCTTATCCGCTCGCTTCCTCGACCATCTGCTGTTAGAATGGCCGAAGAAGCTCATTGATTACATCATGTTCCTTGCCTCGCCATGCCGGTTTGGATTAGAAGCTAGAATTACGCTAATTGTCTCTGTCAAGCTCCCTTCCTCGACATTTCAAGGCTTGTAAGCCTGAATCTCGCCCATCAAGGCAGTTCTTGCACGGAGTTCAAACATTTTTTGGCCCCATAAGGTACCTTTGACATTAGAAAAGCGAGAATCAGCGCCACCAAGCAATCAAAGCGCATGGGTATCAACTGACATGGCTTAATTGAAGACTGCTCGCCCCACAAAAGTATTTTCTTCAGATCTATTAGCGATATCATCATCTTCAACTAAAGATTTTCTTTGCTTCCCAAAACTTCTTCGATACGGTCTAGGTACTTTGCTACTTCGCAAATCCGTGTATTTTCTAGTCAAAGATATACCACAGAGTTCAATAGAGCTCGGCACTATCAAGCTAGTTGATAAATATTAACTTTCTCATTAACGAGGTTGTAGAGCGTAATCACTCCTAGCAAGCCTCGAAGTGAAACAAAGTTCTCAGGTTTCAGTCAGTTATGTTTACCACGTCGCCTAATTTTTGGCACCAATTGCATTAACTTTCAATAATATTTGTGATTCCAAAGTCTGTGGCCAATGATATAGTCGATTATCGTGATCAAGAGGTATAAACTGGATTAAATATATAGAACTAGAGTTGGCATAGTCATCCATAATTGTCGAAATGATTATTAAAACTCAACTTCACAAAACCTAATATTACAGCTTCAGTACACAATAAGTGGGCAATATCCGAATTCGATTTGTGGAATATATTTTATCTTATAATCAGGTTAATTATTGAATGCACGTAGATTAAGATTACTGGCTATGAAGCCTGATTACGAGAAGAATGATACTCCAGAGATCGAAGTTCAAACATGCCTAACAATTAAAATAAAAGGAGAATTTACAATGGAAGATTTGATTAGGGGAGCAAAAATATCAATGAAATCAGCCCAATCAGCAATAATTACGCCAAAACTGCATCAAATGAATATTACAATATTACAAAGAAGTAAGTTCACATTAAATCTGTAACTGGATTAAACATATCAAATATGTCTTCATCTTTAGATTATTGATAATTTTGGGGTTCTTTAGAAGATTTGAGAATCATTAACCCAAATAAATTTGAACAATCAAATACTTCCAGTAGCAATCAAGAAACCACTTTTGAAATGAGCTGTGATTATTGTGTACCGACAAAAGAAATGAATAGTATCTCTATAAAATTTAGTATACTGGATTTCAGCGGGGAACGGTAAATCTATATTTTGAAAAACTGTAATTACAAGACTGGTCATTTATTTTGGACTGAAACCGTGACTGCCAAGACATCTCAATAGCAGGGCTGGGTAATTGATCGCCCGTTAGCGTTGTCCTGGAAATTCTGTGCGGGCCTACAAGGTCAGAGACGCAGCCCTAGGCTAAGAAATCCTAGATGCGAGAAAGATGCCACATGCAATTCTCGCGCCGTGAAGTAGCTCATGTCTTACTCCTATTACCCTGAGCTAGGTCGAGATACCATCAGCGGGTCTCCGGCAAAGTCATGAGTTCCACAATAACTTAGCTCAGACCAATGCCCACTGGAGTTGAGATGGATGGGACTTCCATGACAAAATCTTCGATAATCACCGCTCGCCTCATCCCTTATCCCGGTTCTAGCTCTTTAGCGCGCAAACTGTTTTAGTCAGTCGATTCTTCGTTCCGACCTTCTCCATGTTCTCACGTCACTCGGAGCTACAACTACCCCTAGTGGTAATAGGGTCCTGTCGCTCGTTGAGAGCTTGCATCTAGATTCAAAAGTTCCGGCAGTAGCGAAATAGCCTGACGGGCCCTCACTTCTGACATGTCTCAAGACCTCCTCGGTCTAGGGCAGCTCTTCTGGCGCAGCCGAGTCCAGGGTGACGGAGATATCATCATGAGGATCTAGCTTGCGCCTAGCTTAGAGTGGTAGAAGCGGCGCTGGACCGGCAAGCCATGGTCAGGCCGCTATCATGGCCGGTACAAATCCGCTGGGGCTTAGTAATAGCGTCATGGTATACAATGAAGAGTTGTGATCTTTGCTTAGGCCTCTCAAAACCCCAGGGAGAATGCCTCTCCTCTTACTAGCGGGCCATATTCCAGCCAAGACTTCGCTGAATCTACATTCACGACGTAGGACATGCACCCTACCATGGCTTCACTTCTCGTCGCTTCGGTATCTATTCTGAATTGGCCTCCAAAGACATATCTACAACGATACGAATACTCATAGAGAGGCACGATTAGCAACGTAAAACCCAGCCAAGATAAATGTCGAGGGCGGACGTGATAGACAAGCGAATGGATGGAAGAGGATAAGCCAAGGACCGATACAGTATTATAAGGGACAAAGTTTTCATAGTCAAGAGCTTTGTGTGCACCAAAATTTCGGTTTCGAGACAGCAAGTGAGGTTTCAAAAATAGTGATTACTGAGAGGTGCAGTGGTATACCATCGCAGAGTATCTAAAAATTAGAGTCAAGATAGCTAGGATACCTATTTCACTTGAGGCAGGAGACTGCTGCATGGAAACAACTAAAATCAGATAGCATTTCTCGCGGTGTTCGTGTACTGGATGACGAAGAGGGACCTCATTAACCAAGGATCTGGGAATTCCTCTAGGAGATGACTCTCGAACGGGGATCGAATAATTTGTGCAAAAAACAAACCTCGCAGTGATATTTGCTAATGACGTTCAGATTGAGAGTGTCTCTGAAGTCGACTGATTTTACATATACACAAGAAGCTGGCCATATGTAATTATCTTATTGTTAAACACACATAAAATGATAAATATGTTAGATGATCTACATGTGGCCCGAAAAGGAGCATTCAAAAGTACCTGAAAATCACATGTTACAAAATGAGTACCCATAAATCGAGATTCAGCCTGCTAGAACCGATATTATCGCTTTATTATGGGCACAATGAGTTTAGTATTATTTGTAAATAGACCAATTTAGTAAGGGAGGATTTCTGCCTTCCCTGTCCTTCCTGTAGAGTGCAGAGATGTTGCCTGATGGTTGATTTGTGCAAACTTGATACATCATCGGCTAGTATATGATTTTGATCGTATTGAGACTGAGAAATGTGGAGCAACTTGATAGAAAAGATGAAGTTTAGTTGTACATAGCGAACTACTCGCATGAATATTCCCTTTCATTTTTCTTTTCAATTACTGGCTATCAATGTCAGGGGTAGCGTACTGCTTGTGGTAAATTATGAGTTATATTTAATCTAAAGAGAGATGACTCTCATTGCTACATAGAATTTACAAAGAGTACGGAATCCCGGATTAACTCTTGGAAATCTAGACTCAGCATGTATGAAGGTTTAGATTTCTAGGTATGATCATCAAGATCAATTGAGTTGATTCGATTGAATATGACTAAGCTCGGTTGGACGAAATAAGATTCAGTGGCATCTGGGATGCAGTGGCTGGGAAATGCTACCTTGCGATAATTGAGTGGCTGGTTGTTGTGAGATCACTGGGAGTTCGGGATCACTAAAGCCTCGGGGATCTGTATTTAAGGATAGACTCATCTATATATGTAAAACTAAGTTAACAAACTATTATACATTAATTTATGTTGAGAAGAGAGTTCGATATCACATACATCTATCAATAAAATCTTGTCCGAAATTGTACACTTGTTCTTAGAGATATTTCCTCCTAGAAATCCTTGACAACTTCTAACGTTAACTTTATGCCGAGTTTAGCCCAATCAGAGTGCATCATTAGGAAGAGACGAGCCCCTAGATATCCATAGACTACGAGTGTCACAATCAGGTGGGAAATCCCCTGAGTTTTGTGCATCGAATGGAGGCCGTTTTGTTAAAGTGTGCCAGTTGGGCTCCCATACTATTTATGTTTCCTTCCCTCGATTGATTTCAAATATCAAGGCACAACAAGGCTGATAGCCGCTAGAAACGATCTTTATCATCCTAGGCGAAAGGAAGGATTACAACATTGGCTTCACCAAGGATTTTCCATGGATTGAGGGAAGTGTTGTTTTCGTTTCACTTTCCAGCCAAAGTCTTAGACATTGTGTTAGCTTGTTAACCTCGGCGAAGGTGTTCCCAGCATGAAGACATATTCTAACACGCTCAGTGCCTTGAGGGACTGTAGGAGGGACTATAGGCCTTACAACTAGTCCAGCTGCCTGAAAGTGAGCTGCCAAATTCCGTGGTTTGGGAGTAAGAAGCGAGAAGATGGGTGAGGGTGGAGGTTCTCGAGGAAGTCTCAAGAGAACTTCTTTAGTCTGAGGATGAATCATGAGGACTGACAAACTCGAAAGCTGCTTGAACAGGTAGCTGATAAGCTCGTGAAGATGGGTGACAAGTGGCCTAGTCACTCCACGTTTCATCATGGTGTAGACTGAACGTATCGCCACCAGTGATGGGAATGACATTGAAGTGGAGTAGATAAGTGGTCTAGCGTAGTTAATTAAATATTCACGAAGTAGGGGATCACAAATGATAGCCGCTGTGATGGTCAGCCAAGCAGTTCGGTTAAAATGCAGTGCGACGCCACGCACCTCCATTACAAGCCATGGCCTTTCCAAAGGTGTGTAGCCGGGCGAGGACCCTATCTTCCAGGCCAAGGTGACAAATAATACCGCGCCCATCCTCACCATAGAGACCGTTAGAATGTGCCTCATCAACGATCACATGACCGTTAGCCATGGGAAACATCTCTTCCATCAAGTCGACGATTTCCCTGAGGGGCGCCAAATCACCATCCATGCTGTACAGTGATTCCACAGCGACAAATACATTCTTTTTTCCCGTCGCGATATCAGAGTCGAGTTGTGAGAATTCTTGGAGTTTTCTCTTCAAATCGACCAAGGAATTGTGCGCGAATGAAGATACATGGCTGGCTCGAGAACACTTTAGACCTTCATGCACACTGGCATGAATGTAGGCATCGTGAATAACGACATCACCCCTCTGCGGTACGCAAGAAAAGAAGCCAGAATTTGCATCGAAGCCAGAATTAAATAATAGAGCGGATTTGCCGCCATGAAATTCAGCTAGGTCAACTTCCAACTCTTCAGCAAAGTTAGAGTTACCATCTAGCAACCGTGAGCCACCCGAGCCAAGGCGGAACTCAGATGGCGTAGTACGGTTAAGCGCATCGAGGTAGGTATGCCTCAAAAGAGGTGATGTGCTAAGGGAGAGGAAATCGTTAGAGGAGAAATCGATGGAACTAGATGGACTAGTGTGCAGACTGCGCAGTGCCGAATTCTTGCGACGGCTAGCAAGGCTTGAAGCCATTGAAGAGAAAAGCATTGATGATGACATGATGATAATGGCAAAACTGATGAATGATTTAGATTTCGCCCTTCAGTTGCACTAGGTTATTGTCTCTTCGCTCCGTTACTTTATTTGGTCTCTGAAATGAGATACGTACTCTTGCGGTGAATGGCGTAGTGTTGTGATAGGTATATGATTCGGGTGTACATACAATTTGTGAGAGCTAGCTGCTAATGATCACAGATGGGCTGCTGGGCCGCACAGGTCAAGTAGTTGAGCGGAGAATGATCTCTATTGAATGAAGAAAGACTGTGATTCAATCTCCACCTACTTAGGAGGCAAGCTCTCTACTTATGCTCCCTAGACTATCGCTTACTAATGATAGCAACTCAAAGTAGCAGGAGCAAACAGAGCAAACGCATGCAGTCGCGTGACCATCATAACTTGAGCTGTGCTTTGTAGCTACGTAGGTCCAGGAACAACACGTAGATAGTATACGATAAGATAGAACTATGTGCAGAGGAAGATATGTGATGTGAGAGCTCGCCCCTTGTACCCCAATAAGCTCGCTTACAAAATCATCGTATAACTTATCCAGTGCGCAGCCGCCACAGACAAGTTCTTCATCTTCCAGCGGTGCCGGTGTAATCGCTTAGTATGCTCTGCATATCTGGGGTAGCCAAGAAGAATCGCATCCGAATCGAAGTCGAAAGCAACCTCAAGCACTTCTGAAATCGACGACTTGTCGTCAATGTCGGACCTATCTTTCTCACGCGAGTCCTCCACCTCAATCTTACTACAGCACCTCGACTCAAATACCGATAAAGGGGTTACTCCAGTTGCAATCGGGCATTTGCCTCATCAAAAACCGGCCATCTCCCACTACACATTTAAGATGCTATGTATACCTGCGAGGAGGAATTCAAGTCATAATTCTACAAAGCTCGGGTCTTAGTCTATGGGGGACCGTTGCTCTAATGAGGCTTCACATCTTGAGGGAGGTCAGGCAACTGGGACGTGGGAGAGACGAGTGAAGAGGTCACAAATGGGCATGCTGGGACGCATATTTTTCCAGTATTTTCGACTTAAGGGTGTCTATGGGCGCAGAGGCAACGATTTCGGATAGTGCTACCGACACTCTAAGAACAGGCAGCGATGGAAGGTGTTTTGGTCCGCCTCCTAGTCGTCATCTCCCCGAATTAAAGTCTAGGTAGCCTGGACACCTACCTCACTCGAGAAAGGGGGGACTGTGAGTCCATATCTCGCGTGGTTGCTATATACAAGATGGAAAAGATATGTTAGGGTAGCCAAAGGGTTTATCTGCTTTCCCTTAAGTGGACATTGACGATTGAGGGAAGGGTGAAAGTCTCTAGGACAAATATCTCGATTAGTATCAGCAAATGTACCCACTACACGAGTAGTCCAAATGTCAAACTGAGTTATCGTCGTATTTAGTCGTCGGGGAAGCCAGTCTTCTCCGTGTCATGCTCTGTGAGTGCAGGGCTTGTCCCCGTCACGAATAAATATTCATTTATTCATGATATGTGGTGTGTGAATGGTATTGAAATGTATAACACATTACTCAGTTCGTGGACTTATTGGTAGAGGGAAGCTTATGCAATAATGAATGATAAAAGGATGTCAATTCGACTACTCTTCTAAACACAGGTACCAGACTCCTTTTAATACCAATAGATAGCCCGTGCGGGATCTCCTATTACAGCAGTAAACAACGCTAGCACAGGGTACACGCAATCTCCATTCGCCGAACACCAGTCGGTCTGGACTACTTATTTTCGAGCCTAGTAGGATCGAGAAGGTGTATCCCAACAGAAACAATAGAAAACTCAACAACCAAACCCTTCATCAATTACTTTATTAAGAATCACCTGACTTATCTCTGTACTCCATATTCTCAACAAAAGGAGCTATTAGAAGTCAAGAATTATCATGTAACCTAGCATTAGGCTATAGCATGTGACTATCAATAAATAGATAGAAACATCAGAACATAGCTAGCAGAATAACAACGACAACTTTATTGGGCATCATCTGGAGTGCTCTCGGCAGGCCATTCTGGTGATGATTCTAATGCCGAACAAGATAGACTTGTCTTCGCCCCGATCTTACCGCACAATTGCACTCTTCTCTGTACTAGGCAAAGGATTAAAGAGACTTATTGCAAAATGAATGGCTTAGACTGCTATCCGGAACAAGGTGGAATCGAACTAATAATACGGCACTCTCCCAGCCAGATCGGGTGTTGATCTAATTACCTGACTTACCCACAATGCAGAAAAGGCACTTCATGAGGGTTCTACAGCCAGTATGCTTACCTTCAATGCCGTATATCCGGAACGACTAGTCCACCGTCTATGAGAGCAAAGTTTATCTGAAAACCTGGTGCGCTGGGCGGGATCCTTTGCCTCATGCCGTACGGTGTGCGTCTGTCTCGATGGAGTAACAGGCCCCCCACAACATGTGGACTGTGGTCTTCCACAAGGCTCACCTGCCTCGCCCATTTTATTCATGCTCTACATTTCCCTGCTCTTCAAGACAGGAATGAAGAGGAAAAGATTCGGCTATGCAGATAATGTTGCTCTCCTTGAGACAGGGCCTAACCTCCTGAGTAACTGCACAGCTTTTTCTCACTCGTTGGCGGAAGTATTAGACTGGAGGGAAAGGGAAGGCACTACCTTCAACCCAGCGAAATCGGAACTTCATCACTTCTCTGGGAGACAAGCTGATCGCAATGCATCAACAACCCCCTCGGTATTGTGCAGAAGGAGTTCTATCTCTGAAAACACAACCAGAACTTACACCCGCTAGCTTGGGGTCCACTTCGATCAGTTCATATCCCTCAAACGGCATGTTCGTACGCTCCCTGATAATGGACTTACGATAGCCAACGCTCTCTGGCCACTCAACAACTCTATGCGAGAAGTCTCTCCTCAACTTATCCTTAAAGCAGTAACATCTTGTGTCCTTCCAGAAGCTTATTATGGAGCCGAGACCTGGTGGCCAGTTCGAAACAGATTTACCAACAAGACTATCTCCAACCGAGTTGAAGGACATACATCCGCTCTACGCAAGGTCGTTATGGTGGGCGCTAGAGCAATTCTGCCCGTATATCGGACAGTACAAATCTCAATCCTCTTGCACGAATCAGGCCTACTTCCTCCGGATTTGGAACTAGACTACAAATGCAAACGCTTGATAATACGTATCCATCGCTTGCATTCCAGACATCCTTTATGCAGGCGGGTCTTCGTGATCCGGGCGCAAGCTCTCCACATCTCTCGCCCTACTAGGTGGGCTCTTGAGGCTCTGAATATAGAAACTATTGATCCTCTTGTCCAGCCACCTTAGATTACCGAAAAATCATGGCATAAAAGCAAAATGCGGGTCACCAAGCCTCTTATTAATATCCTAATAGGATTCCCTTCAACGACTTGTTGGCCTACACAGATAGCGCTCGGTCTACCTCGCCATCTCTACCTAGCACAGGCGGTGATATTGCAATTTTTCAAGCTAGACTTTTAGCCCATCGGTAAAAGTCAAGCCTTTGACCCAAATCTGACGGTGTTCGACGCCGAAGTAGCTACTGTTCATGCCGCACTAAAGACCGCACTCTCTCTTCCGACTGCTTGCTTCTCCAAGAATCTCTGGATATTAATAGATAACCTTGAGGTTTCTCGCTCTATATTTCAACCCCCAATTCGCTCATCATAAAGTTTCTTTTTACAGATAGAGACTCTGGTCCGTGAATGGCCTCTTCGTCATCGCCTGCCTCATGTTCCTCCGGGGTGGGTCCAAGTATACTGGGTACCTGGAAATTTTGGTATCTCTGGAAATGAGCTTGCTGACACCTTGGCTAGGGAGTAGCTGTTGCAGCCCTCTCCTACATTAGTTCCCTTATTATCCTTCAATTCCGCTAAGAGCTTTGTTAAAGATAAATTCGTCCTTACCATGGAAAAACACTGGAATGAATACGCTCCAGACTTATACAGAAGAATCAGAATCAACTCCCACACCTGCTACCCGAAGAGTCTCTCACTTAAGAGAGATCTTTTTTCATGACTTTATATTATAAAGAGATGGATCTTGAGGAAGAGGAACGCATATAATGTCGTGAATTACAAGGAGTTATAATTGTTTATGTTACATTGAGTCTGGACGCAGTAATGAAAGAACGCCTGCACGCAAACAAATTTGCACGTGATGCACAATTACAACACTTTACGCTACCCGTTCGGGGCATGGCGACTTAGCTGTATACCACTCTCGTTTTAACCACTCAGATTCACAAGTATCTTGCAGCTGCAGCCTAGCCAAGGCGTCTGAACATTTTCTGGAATGTACTGTGACCAACCGGAGTCTTCTCCTTGTTCCAGTTCCTTTGAAAAATCCGACAAAATTCTTTTTAGGCTACTGAGAGGGGGCAGTAAGTATTGTCAAAAGGTTCGATCAGTGTGATGCGCTTTGCCCGGATTGGGACTAGGATCACTCCATCTTCGAGGTTAGGCTGCAACAGAGTAGCGCTCCTGGAAATGCGAATTGGGCGCATAAAGAGGTATCAAGGGGGATATGTACCAGATAGGGAGTATGGTACAGAAGAAGAGGTGAGCCGGGGAGAAAGGATGATTCTCAAGTGGACAAGGTGGGGAGTTAAGACTAGTCTACTCAGAGCATATAAGGGATGGGACACTACATGGTAGATTTTCTTCTCAAGGAAGAAGTTATTAATTCCTATCGAGTTATTGTCTTTCAAGTACATCTGAATTCATTAAACCTTTACAATCAGACAGGATTCTACCTAACAATCTGCCCTAAAAATTCGGGCTGAATTAACTCTAAGTAATAATGATAAAAAACAAACAAAACAACCAATTCGATAAATTTGAAGATTCGAAAATTCCCTTTTTCTCCTTTTCCACTCCATTCGAACTCGTCGCATACAGTCTTAAATTGTGATCGAGCTTCTGACATTTTCACCATGTATCCAGTTCGAAAAAAGCGTCCCAACGCCAAGTTGGACAACATGAGAGTCTGCCCGAGGGCTCTCGGGGAATTACCTGGCCTTACCCAGTCTTCGGAATGCGCAGAGATGAGCAAGGTCTCTCCTAAAGGGAAGAAAAAGGCCCTCCCCACCGTCTCTGCGCCCGATACTGACATGATTGGGTTAGTTGAAATTGTTGAGGAAATTCTTCAACCAGCCTCCGCCCCCCACGGGATTTGAGATTCTTCCAAATCTCCTCCGAACGCATCAAAACCGTCGGAGAAAGCTGCGCCAAATACAGCATCAAAATTAACGTCGCTGCCAAAAGCTGCAACGAAAGCAGACTGCCCCCGGAACTTTGACAGATTGTTGAAGCTGAACAGCGACGCGCCACCGAAATAGCGGTAAATCTGGCACTTTGTTCTCCACCATCTCTGGCGTCGAAGCAACCTTCCTCCCTTTGACCATCGGGTCAAACAGAAAATTCGTAGACTCCATGACAGTCTACCTACAAGCTGCAATTGCGCAATAAATGGACTCGGGCCCGGCCTCTACGCCACCCGTCCTCCCTCCTCGCCCTGCGAACAACCTCCCAAGAGCTGCCGACGCCAGGAGTCAAAGAATACCCGCAGTCCCAGTGCAGCCATCAAAAAGCACGTAGGCCACGGTCGTCAGAAACAGACTGCGGCAAACGGCAGTACCTATAGTGAAGGCTGTGCCGCAACCTGCGGCTAAGGCCACAAAGAAAGACGCTCCGAAGGCGAAAGTCGACAAATGATACTTCATTCGCCTCGGTAGCGACCACCCGTGGTGCAAACTCTCACTTTGCGCTGTACGGGAGAAAGTACAGGAAGAACTTTTGTTCTATATGGATAATACCAGCTCTTTCCACCGAGTCAGAACCGGCTTAGCGATTCTGACAAGAGATAGTAATACAAGGGAAAGGCTCCTAGATGCCGCACTGAAATTGGCGAATTTTAACGCCAAGCTCGAAGAAGCCTCCAACCTTGTCGCCTTTCGGATCGCGAATGCTCCCGCGACCATAAGAATACTCGACGGTATTTGTACGGTAGATGTTGACTGTATCTTAACCGAGATCTACTATAGAACCCGAAAGGTAGCAATTCAGGTGCGAACGCACGGGACATGTCATCCTGGGGCGCCGTACAGAAATTGACAAGCCCTTTTTGCCCGAAGAACCAGGTTTCGGAGTGTTGGAATCTGAAGAAGAAGCTTAAGGGCATAGCGACCTCGACGATGCCTCTCATAGGCATCTACTAACCAATAGCAGGATATCGGCTGGATGAATGGTGCTTGCTAACCCATCTCTTCCTCTGAGCGGAGATTGGGTAAATTTGTCATTTGGAAGGTGTGTCGGACGATGAAATGTGTGAGAAGCACATTGCTTGGGTCCAACATAGAGAAATCTTCTCTTTTTCGGAGTTGTTATGATTTTCGTGATTTTTCGTTTCAGTTTAATTAGCTGCACTTTGACAGAGATTCATGAGGTTGGAACGAGTTAGGCTATAGGAAAGATTATAGGGAACCCTGCCGGCTCCACCGGTCCTTGACCCAATGTGGAAAAGATAGCGTTAGCCTAAGACCCATTGATTTAAGCAAACAAACAAAATAAAGACTACTTTACTAGAACGTAAGGAAGTGAGGGTACCTAGAGTAAGACTAACGGATAGAGAGATAGATTTTGATATACGTCTTGATCAATAACCTCGTCACCTACTCTTTGTACTTTCATATAACCTAGAGCCAGTGATAGAGCGACAATTCTGGACAAGAAAGAACTTCGGCCAGCAGCGCGCATTCAATGATCGGACTTATGGCACCCTCTAGCACTGAGATCTATGAAAGTACCAAAAGATATTATAAGGCGCCTCGAACCATGAGCAGGCAAGAAAGCCCAATATATCACTACCTTAGAGCACTATCTGACAAGATTCAAGTACTTTGCTCTAAATATACCGATCGCTGAAGGTCCCAAAAAACTATCATACAAGAAAGTCAATTCGGCCAGGCTTCTAACAGGTCTCGATAGGAAAAATGAATCGCATTATGCAAAGGCATGGATTGAAAATCTCTTGCTGCAGACTATATGTGCCTACTCAGATGGTTCATCAAGCGACCCAGCTAGATCTGAGTGGAGATACGCCGTATACAAAGGAAATGGGCTAATTGTAAGAGATGCTGGTATGACCCTGGGAGCAGAAATATACGACGCAGAAATTTCAGGCGCTCAGAAATCCTTGTAAGTAGCTGTAATATTGGCAGGAGAGTTTCCTATTAAGATAATCCTCGATAACTTTAAAGCTGTTCACTCCCTCAAAATAGGCCGAAGCTAGTTGTCTCAGGCCACAGTTGACCAACTCATAACTCTACTTCGATTGAAAGGGTTAGTAGAGATAAGATGGATGGATGTGTGTGTGTTTGTTTATTGTACTACCTGAGTCTATGACTATCTAGCACATTGGGCTCCTCTCTGAGCCAGGCCACACCTTGTACAGTGCTCCTATCCTCCTCTGTTACTTCAACGATCATTGATATGTTCCCCTTGATGAACAGCCATTCAGCTCAGCCTTTACCCGTGAAATCCAGCCATCTTTTCCACGGAACCTTCTACCCAAAAAAAAAAAAAAAAAAAAAAAAAAAAAAAAAGGTAGCAATGGAAACTGCATCCGCGGGAAAAAGCCACAAAAAACCTGCTGCCCCAGTCACGCGAGGCCTAGACACCGGGACCACATAAGTTGCGCATATTCATCTATATCTCCCTTCTTTGTAACAGTCGAGGTCGACTTGATCCAATCCACCATCTCCGTATCGGGTGCTGGGTACGCTCCGGAATCTCATCGGATGGCTTTTCCTCCATGATCAAGGGTGGGTGATAGGTAGGGCTCCGACCCTACCATCTGATCTGATCGTGATTAGCTTCATGATAATGGTGATAGGGGAATGGGTTGAGAGATGAAGAGGATACAGACCGCGCAAGCGATTGGGAATCTTCGTCGAAGTGAGGACTTTGTTACTTAATCTCGGCTCTGCAGACTCTACAGTGAGAGCTGGAGGTTCATAGGGGACACTACTGACAGGTGTTGAGAATAGTCCCCCGAGAAACGATGGATCCCAAGTCATTCTGGCGTTTTCAGAAACATGCATGCCGAAAAACTGGCAAAATTAGCTCTGGAAGATATTTCAGTCTCCTCAAATGCAATGTTTACCTTGAGCTCAAATCAAAGATAAAGATATACCTTTGCATCGCTAAACCAATACGTTAGAGAACGGGGCGAGGAGACTATCGAATCTTGGTGGTGAGAAAATAGACCTATTCAGTACAAAGACCTGGACTTGTTAATGAAACGAGAACAACCACCAGAGCTAGCTCCTCCATGATTGTCGTATCATCATCTGTTAGCGGCTAGGACTGGTCATGGAAACTTCCCCAACGTTATAAAAGATTTCACCATGAAGGAATAAATTGTAGGTGCAAATGTGGCCGACATAGACGCCCGTATCATTTCTAGGAGTGCCAGATGGCGCTAAAACAAAGGCGAAAAACAACGGAGGAAACAGCGCCAAGTGGATGAACACTGTTAGGAGAAAAGGGATGAGAAGCATTTTATCGATTCCTTGCCGTGAGGGGATGTTACGGGGAGCAAAGTTAGACTGGAACGATAGAGGTTTTCTGGGATACAAATATAATAGGCAAACTGTTATGAGAAAGCTGGTTAGGGGCAAGGCATCGAGTCAAGGCAGAAAATATTTTCCTTTATATTTTTGGTTTTCATTCTCGTAAATTTCTGGCTACATAAAGCTAGTTTCAATGGTAGTTGTGGGACATTCGGGAACATATACCCGTGTCAAGCCTCCAGAGTATAGGGCTTAAGTCTAATATGTTAAATTACTCAAATCGAATCAAATCAAAAACAACACTTGGCAACCACAATTATCGATCCTAGATTTTTTTATTTCAACAATGACAAAATCACATTAGTTATACAATTTTTTTATAAAAGCGATTACTCTTAGAAAGTTTGGATTTGGGCTATCTAGATAGGTTCTTATTTTCCAAGACCTCGGATTTAGTCTCAAAAATCATATAATAATTTGCAATTCTAAACCTTATTTTCAATAATCAGTCGATTCACATTCTAAGTCAAGTTAGCGAGTATTTTAAACCTGTATAAAGAAAGAGTCCTACCTTTCAACCGGAGAAAGTCCTAGTAGACGCATCCCATTGTTCAATACTGTCCGCGCTGCAGCGTAGAGAGCCATTCGCGCTTTCATCAACTCCCTCTCGCTACCAACGATACGGAGATGATCGTAGCTTGAACTTAGAGTATGTGTCATCTTAAAAAGATATGTCAGAATCGTTGTTGGTTCGAGTGTCTTTAAAGTGTTTTGAATGACGTCTGGATATTGTGAAATCACACGAATTAAATTAACGGCATGAGGTTCAGTTAGTAATTCTAGATTAGCAGATAGCAAGTCATCACTCGAGAGGCCTGCCTTGCGGGTTATCGAGGATAGACGCGCATGAGCGTATTGTAGATAAGGTCCAGTATCTCCTTCAAAAGAAGTCATGGCGTCCATGTTAAACTCGTAGTTATTGATTCTAGCGTTATATGTCAGATAACAATCTATTTTATTTGATATGCATCTGAAACTTACCGTTTGCCGCTCATATCTTGAACCATGACACTACTGATTCCGAGAATATCAGCTGTTGCAAGAGGATCCTCAATTTGTTCATATTTTGCTTGATTTTTTTGCATAACTTCATGCATCTTTTCGCCCACGTCACGAAGAATGTCATCGAGAAACTTGACAGTTCCTTTTCGTGTACTCATTCCCAAAACTAAACCAAAGTTCACATGTTGTACCTTGGCGGCGATTTCCGTTAATCCCATCAACTCAATAATCTTGAAAAGCTGTTTCAGGTGAAGATCTTGTGCCGAGGCAACAACGTATATCATATGGTCAAAATGATATTTTTCTTCTCGCTGTATTATTTCACCAATGTCTCTGGTTAAATAAAGAGCTGTACCGTCCCGCCTCTTGATAAGGGGCCTCTCTAGACTCTTCCCGGGTTTTCCTGCCACGTGTTTTGAAAAGTCAACGATTATGGCTCCTTCAGATTCTTCAGAAATACCCATTTCGGTCATCTTTAGCGCTGCCCAGTCCATTTTTTCTTGCTTCACTTGGCTTTCACCAGAGTATTCGGTAAAGGAGATATTTAATCGGGCATAAGTCTCTTTATACCGCTTTATACTTAGCTCTCGGAAGCGGGACCATTGCGCGATAGCCTTGTCGTCGTTATCAGTCATTGCTTTAAAATATCGACGGGCTTGCTCATCGAGTCCTTCTTCCTTTAATTGTGAAGCATCTTTTCCAGATCCTTCTAGGTCCTTAATTTGGTCTTTTTCGGAAGCCAGATCCTTATTGATCTTGACGTAGATTTCATACAGGTGATTGATAGGATCAATGAGGAGAGCTTCTTCATTGCCGTATTTCTCAAATCCTAGGGCAAGAAGCCCATATTGTTTTCCCCAATCTCCTAGGTAATTCACTCGGATTACGTCCCAACCCGCTCCCTCGTATAGATTCGATAGAAACCCACCAATTATAGTGCTTCGAAGATGGCCAGCATGAAATGGTTTTGCGATATTGGGCGAGGAAAATTCAATTATGATACGCTTTCTCCCCTTTGAAGAATCTCCTATATCTCTTAGCCCCAAGTTTTGATTTAAGCCATATGTTTCTTTCTGAATATTTATTGATGGTATGAGAATTTTGGCAAGCTTATCAACTTTGAAGAAAAATTGAATAAATGTTCCGTTGACTGAGGGTTTGTGAACAAGGGGGGATTCGGGAAACTTTGCTAGCCATCTTAGCATTAACGAGCAGCCAGGAACAATATAGACAAGCTACCTTATCTACCCATTCGGAAGCTAGTTCATTTGGCTTCTTTCCTTTAATTCTTAGAGCAGGAACAGGAAGCACAAGATCTCCCTTATCTAGAGTTTGGGTCCATTGGAGTGCAGGGTAAATTATTGATGCTTCCACTCCGGTAAGCTCAGTCAATATAGATGTAAGGTGTGCTCTATAAATATCAACGGAATTTAATTCGGGATAGCAGTTTGGGAATTTTGGTAGAGATTTTACTAAACCCATAGATGTGAGTTGCTCACACAGTGTTGGGTTTGCTGCCATTTGAAAGCGTTGAAAAAAGTATCTATTTGCCTTGCAAATTCGAGGATTGGGCTGAATCTCTTTTGCTCCTGGTGCACGCCGACAAAGATTTTCGAGAGGGAATTTTGCAACTTTCGTAAGAAGCCTGTACATCAAATGATCAACTTCAGCCTTATCGATAAGCAGATGCAGTTTATAGATGCCTCATTAAGAAAGCCCTTGACTTTTCCTGCTTGTATTAAATTCGTATATCACGTGATATACGCCGAATGAATCTGTATATGGATGAATGACAACACGTTCACACTGTGAATTAATGATGCATCCCACAACTTATATCTTACTCGATGAAAATTTTAAGATCTATTCAGCTTCTCCAAGTATTTGCTATCGTGCTACAGTTAAATTATCTAAGATGATTACCAACCATGGCGTTATCGTTCGCACCTTTCAACTCTGTATCACCACCGTGATGGGTTCATGGAAATAAAATTAAAGCTTGCCGTTCTAGCTTGAGAAGTCCATAAACACATCGAAAACAGGCCTAAATCTAAATGACAAACTGAACCTGTGGTACCATTTTTTTGGTTATTAATAAGCTAGGCAATTAGCACCCTCCGCACTCCTCTTGGAGCTTGAACACGAGTGAGGCCGGGCTTGATAAGGTTAACTGCCATATAAGTACAATAAACCTCGTCCCACCATGACACTTCCGGCGCAAATAATAATCACATCTATAACTCCGTTACACCACACCTCCACGCGAATAAATAAATCTATCCACTCATCGATACCCGAGAAATCAAGCAGCACCATGGCTGCGCACAGCCAGCCGTCGTCCTCGGCATCAACTGACCCAGGAGACCTATTACACCCGAGCCTTCTTAGGATTGCCGCCGCAATGGAGCAGTCGGAACGCCAGCAAAAACAGCGAATGAGCGTAGCGCAAAATTTCCTACAAAATATCGATGCCTGGGCAAAGTCCTTGTCAGAAAATAAAGGCGCGCACTTAGTCGCGCCACTAATAGAAAATATTTCACCTATCGTATCAGCATTTGCGATAGGCAACGTCAACGCCGCAAGTCACCAAGGCAAGAAATCATCCCATGAAAGTACTCAGATAAAAACCTCTGTACCCATGTCGACAAAAATAGCGGAGAAACCCCATCACGATCTCCCTCAAAATCCAAGGGAAACTGCTTCTCCGTGGGTGACCATAGCCCGAAAAGCAGCCAAGCTCCCGCATCCGCCAGCCAACCTAGTAAAGCGAAGGCCTGTTGTGCAGTCAAAACCAGCCGGACAAGAGCCTCCGAAAGAGGATAAACGACTCTTCGTTCGCATGGGACGCGAACATCAGTGGCCGAGGCTATCACCTGTCACAATTAAGAAGCTCTTCACTGAGAAAGCTGGAGTCGCACCTTCAGCAATTATAGCAATGACACAAGTTAGGTCTGGCCTAGCAATGGAGTGCGCCTCAGACGCGCTCAGGGAATCAATTCTTAGTGTAGGCCCTGCACTCCAAAATGACGAAATAGCAATCGAGCCTTTCTCAGACTGGACATCAGTCATGGTACCTCATGTCCCAATTTTTATCCGCACATATTAGATGGAGGAATTGAAGTAACCAGGGATATGGTAAAGACAGAATGCCAGGCAGTTTGTGGGGCCACACCAATACAGGTGCGCCCAGACGACAAAAAATCAGGAAGCTATTCCGCTAGCTGGGTAATACACTTCAAACAAGTGCCATTTAATCCCAGATTTAGACTTTTTGATGAGAGTGGGCCAGCTATACCGTTCTCCCGTAAACGCCCCATAGAGCAATGTCAATGCTGCTGGGGCTACCACTCAACAAGGAACTGCATCAAAGGACAGTGGTGCGAAAAGTATTCTGGCATGCATGAAGCAGCCGAATGCTCGGTGAACATACCCAAATGTTCAAACTGTGCTGGACCGCACGAGTCAACCCACCTGAGCTGCATAGCCCGGCCAAGGCGATACAATGGACAAGTAACGCCTCGTACACCAGCCGAGCTATGAGTTATTCGAGAGCGAGGACACATAGATTTTAAGGCAGCGTTATTAAGATCTTAAGAAAAAGGTAAGGCCCGCGAGGTCATTAGCATACCAGAAGAAAAAATGCTTGATAATGAGTAATACACCAAACTCTAATAAGCTTAACCACAAATATAGCACCCTTCTATTTCACCATGTGAACGTGGGAAATGGTTGGCAAAACATGGATATAGCGCTGCTGCAAGCTTTGGAAGCTGAAATACACATAGTTATGGTTCAAGAACCATGGGCCTTGCAAGATGACGGAGAGTTTACAACGAAAAGCCATCCTGGCTTTGAAAGTTTCATTCTCTTGGTAAATATGACGCCGAGACCACGACCACGCGCTGTCACTTTTGTGAGAAAAGGACTTCGAGCGGCTCAGATTTCACCCTTGTCATTAAGCCAGTCTTCAGACTACTGTTTCGTGCAGGTATGTGGACTGACCTTTGTAAATGTCTATCGTGCCCCGGGCCTCAGTGAGACTTTAGATCCTCTATTTAACTGGCGGCCAACAGGTCCATCGGTATTGGGAGGCGATTTCAACCCAGTCTCACAGAATTGGCAGCCATTGACGAACCGCCAATATGGAAACGGTAATCTCATCATGGAGTGGGCCCACAGAAACGATATGCAGCTACTAAACACTCTAGGAGAAAGCACTCATCGTGATGGAAATGTGCTGGATCTAACCTGGAGTAATACAACGGAGGTTGCATCAGTATCAACACGGTTCGATTGTACATCAGACTATTCCACAATTGAAGGCTCAGTTGATACACCTGGATGCTCGGATCTATCTGGGATCCCAAGACCAATACGCGTGAGGGACTGTGATCTAGACAAGTTCGCCCGATGTGTGAAGCAATGGGTAAGGCATGGCCCCCTCAGCAGTCAAATCGAGATTGAAGACTTCACAGAGAATTTAATTAAATTACTTCAGGACGCGGTCAAAGTTGTCGGACGCGCACCCGCCGTAGGAAAGGGAAAAACAGCGCCTTGGTGGTGTGCGGACTGTAAAAGGCGACAAGTTGACTACAGGACATCCAAAAGGACATCCGGAGATGTAGAAGTGACTCGTAAGGCTTTCCGAGTCGCAGTGAAGGCAGCTAAACGCGAATACTGGACAAAGTAAGTCGAGGCAGCAGAGACAGAAGCACAAGTGTTCAAACTCATGCGATGGGCCAAACCAAAGTCAAAAAATAGCTTCCTCCTCTCCAGGTAGCACCAAACCAATGGCTCTCAGATCCACTCGAGCGGACAATCGCACTTCGAGATTCACTTCTTGCAAGGTTTGACGCTAAAAGCGACATAGAAACGTGGGATAATGACCAACCAGATTCTATTCCATGGAACGGAGAGGTGTCACTGAAAGACGTTACAATATCTACCATAGCAAGTAAAGAAACGGCTCCGAGATATGACAAAATCACCGTTCGATTCCTCAAGGCTTGCTGGAGTACAATTGGTACATATGTTAGGGACCTCTTCTAGGCTTGTTTGAACTTGGGGTACTTTCCTACGCCGTTCAAAGTAGCTGAAGTTGTACTTCTTCCCAAAAATGGACGTGATCTCTCCAGCCCAAAAGGACGGCGTCCCATATCGCTACTCTCCAGCTTGGGCAAGGGATTGGAAAGGCTTATAGCTAAATGTATGTCCTGGCTTGCAATAAAGCACAAAGCGGTACCCTCACAACTCTTCTGCGCACTACCAGGACGCTTAGCAGTGGACTTGGTATCATGTGTTACACACGATGCAGAAGCTGCTATGAGATCAAAAAAAGTCACAGCTATGGTCACGATGGACATACAAGGTGCCTTTGATTCAGTGCTACACAATCGGCTGCTCGCACGAATCCGAAGTCAAGGCTGGTCGCTATCACTCTGTCGCTGGGTAGAATCGCTTCTCAAAAGACGAAAAATCCTGGTAAGACATGTGTGATAGCATAAGGTTCAGGAAAGGCTCTGACTAAAGGCAAAAAAATAATATGATTGTAATCTATAGTGAGAGAAGGATAGGTCGGTTCACTAAAGAATGTATATACATAAAAGTGGATCAATTTTAGTCCTAGCGTCCATATAGCACGTGACTAGTGTCCTACGACAACATGAAGAAGGCGTAACAGATGAGAAGCTTGTTGAGTGCGGTGTCCCGCAAGGATCACCACTTTCGCCACTTCTATTCATGTTATACATCTCGATTCTACTCGAGGATGGCACAACTAACTGTAGCTTTGGATACACAGACGACATCGCGATTGTCCGAGTTGGTAAAAGTCCTTCTGAAGCTGTTGAGGCTGCCCAGGTTGAAGTACACAGGATAGTCCAACTGGCTGCGATACACATGATTAGATTCGACCCTTCGAAGTCTGAGCTGCTGGTCATCGGGGGAGGACCGAAGAAGAAACTCGACTCATCCAACTTAACGGTTAGAGTTGGGGAACAGCTTATTATGCCTTCTCCGCATATACGATGGCTCGGAGTTTGGCTTGATTCTCAACTATCATTCAGACTGCACGTTCAGGAATGGTGTAGTAAGGCACAGCAACTGTCTCACTTCATACGCAGCATAAACAGGGACCATCAAGTTGCGGCTCTGGGACCACCAATTCATGCGGTGAATGCAAGTGTAGTGAGCACGGCAATCTATGGCGCTGAAGCCTGGTGGCCTGGAATGACCCGAATTACGACCAAACGAGACAAGAAAGTAAGTACGGGTGTCGGATGGCACCTCCAGCTACTAGATAGGACTATTTTGACTACAATTCGAGCTGCATTCCCAGTGTGGCGGACTACACCAAATACAGTTCTACACCAAGAATCAGGGATCTTACTTGCAGGAATAATGCTCCAGCAGCGACAGCTACGTAGTGCGGCTAGAATCCGCCGACTTGATAGCTATTATCCACTCGCTTCAAGGGCAGTTGAGACACCCAAAGAGGCAATCAAGCGACTCTGACTGCGAGAGGGGCAGAAAGGACGGGCCTTTAGGGTTCCAGAGCGATACTTAACACGCCTTCAGAATGGGAACCTCAATCTACCAGAATTAGAAGGCCCTGGGCAGCTTTATGGACCGCGGACCGCGATGGCTACAGCCGG